CGGCCGGGGGCTGCCCGGCGGGGCGCGCGCGGCTCCCCGGCGGACCGTGCCGGCGGCCTGCCGTGCGCTCGGAGCTTCCGAAGGGGACGTGGGCGCGGGCACGCCGCTGCGCGCGGCCGCGGGGCCGGAGGTGCCCCGGCGAGTGGCCGCGGGCTTCGCCGGCCAGCCTGTGGTCGCCCACCGGGGGGAGGGGCGGGCGGTCTGCCGGGGAGGCCTCGGGGCGGGTCCGGCCGGGCTCCTCGCCCTTGGCCACGGAGCAGCGCCCGCGGCGGACACGGCGGGCCTCCCCCGGAGCGAGCTTGCGCGGGATCGCCCCTGCTGGGTGGCATCCTGACCGCGAGAGCGGGGCCCGGCGGCGCCCCCGCAGAGGTTGCTCCTGGGTCAGCGCGCTTCGGGGGTGACGCGCAGCCTCCCCCCCCACCCCGCCCGGCCTGCAATTTTGCTGGGTTGCTGCGCGCCCTGGACTCCTGGCGTGCACGCCTGGCGCAGCCAGCCTGCTTCCACGAGCCGCCTGTGAGATTCCTGTTTCCAGAAGAGCACGTGTGTATGACTTTGCAAACAAAAGGGCTGAAAGAATCGTCTGCAAAACTGCCAGCCCTTTGAACAGAAGATGTGTTTATACAGCTAGAAAGGGACTTCCAGGATGTTCCTGTGAATGCGGCGAGGGGTCGGGGTTGCAGGAGTCGCGAGCCGTCTTACCTATCCCACAGGAGCGCAGGAACAATTGCTTGCGCAAACAAGCTTGCATAACCCCCGTGTGCTTCAGGGTTGTAATGCAGAAGTGCAGAACAAGGAAGGGATAAATATTTCAGCTCTCGGACACCTTTGCCATTGTTCGAAACCAAATGCACTCTTAACCCGGATTCTGCCTTTTTTGCTCTGGTTTTACTTTCTCTACCGGCCTGAGAACACGCAGCTTGTTTTGGTAGATAAAAGCAAAGTGTTTCCATGTCAGAGGTGACCCTTCCAAAGGCAAGCTCCCAGCTGCTGTGTTTTACAACGTACCAGACACATTTCAAAGAATGGTTTTGTTCTCCGCCGGGTGGAGCAGCAGCCAGCATAACGTTCTGGCAACAGGCAGGTGCATGGGATGGCACGACCCCCGCGAGATTAAAGTCACACAGCAGAATCAGGGAATTAAAGAAAGGGGGGCGAGTCTGTTGTGCGTGGCCCCAGTCCGCCAAAATTGTATATTTCAGCCTGCAAAAGTTACTGGCCGAAACCAGGCCCTGTGGATGCCTGGAGGCCAGCGAATGAGGGTGCTTTGCCCCTCTTCTGGCAACTGGTTGTGTGGACTTTGTAGAAATGGCCCTTCCTTCTGCCGCGCAGTATTTTGTCTGCCGGAACCAGTGGGCAACTGCGTAAACGCCAGCCTGTTAGCACCATTTTCCTCCTTCTGTAGGTTCGGGGCTTTTGGTTTCGAAATACAACCAGGGTCTCCAAAAGATGGCCTTTTCCTAGGGTGGGACTTCATTTATGGAGCATCGTTTGCAGAGACATGGCAGAAATATGTTTGGTTCTTCGATGGCAGATTGTTCACAAACAGATGTATTGATAAAGCCTTTCTTTGTGACTTCAGAAGTGGACTTGGTAACTTGTTATATTTTTGTTTATTCTGGTTTTTTACTCAAACTCCTGGATATGTTACATTAGATTTCTTGATGGTGTTAGGTCTGCTAGCCCGGTGTGTTTTGAACACAGCAGAGGTGGGATATAAACACATTACATTAAAAAAACACCGTATCAGTTGTGGGCACCGATTTACCACTGATGAACTTGCTGCATATTCCAAAACACCCCACCTTGTTCGCCTTTTAGTAAGATGACAATGAGAGCACGATTTTGGGGGGGGGGTTATTCTGAGGAATGTAAAATTGAAATCAGGAGAGTGGTGGAGGCAAAAGGAAGAGCTGCAGGCCTTCCCGAGATCACGCCGTGCCTGTGCTTTATTGGCTGGGTGAACCTCCGCGGCTTCGCATGATCCCCCACCTGCCTTGTAAAGTTGCGCCTCAGAGAGTTTATGATTTCATGGCAGACTTCTAGGGGCTGCGACTTGCCGGTGCCTCGCCAAGCTGACTGTGCGGATGGAAAGCAATACTTGCGCAAGGAGGGGAACTGGCAGGCGCGGGCTTGGCGAGAGGGTTGTGTGTGGCTTGCCAGATGGCGGTTGTCTGAGCACTGCTGGAGGGGAATGTGCCTGGCAGTGGCTGCCGGCCTGTGCCCTGGATGGGTGTGGAACCGCACTCGGCCGGGCATGAGAGGGAACCCGGGGGTGGGGGGACCTGCAGCAGCAATTTCTGCAGGTTCTCCAGGTGATGTGCTCCTCCCGCCTGTGGCTTTTGGGGAGAGAGTTCTGCCCCGTCTGGACCAGGCTTGCTTGGGTCCCGGGATCCCTGCTGTCACAGGGGTCCACGTTCGCACATAACTGTAAACCACAAACTAGTGTCTGCGCGTGTGGACAGGGCTGCCCTCTCCTCTCTCCTCCAGCGACCTGGAGGGGGAATAAACCTGCTTCCCGGCCTTTACCCGCAGGACCAGAATTGTTTACAGTAGACTCTCAGTCAAGGTATAAACCCCAGAAAGAACCTACTGTGCTCGTTTAGCAGCTTACTAGAGTTAATTTTAAGCCATGATTCCCGGTTCACCTTAAGGACAAAAATCAGGAATCTGCTAAAGTGACATTGGCATATTTCTCCTCCCAGCTAAAGGGGAAGGAGGAGGGGGAAGTATTTGATCCTCTCGCTTTTTGCCTGGTGCATTCCTGCTTATCATGTAAACCTAGATTGTGGTTTGCTGTTTTGCACAAACTTGCTCAGAAACTCAGCGGACTGAGTCCTTCCCGGCGGAAGCTGCCCACTGCACCTCTGGGGAGATCTGATTCTCTGCCCGCTGACAAGAGCCAGTGAGGCTTGCAGTCTGTGGGTGGGAATCTTGACTCTTCCACATGCTAGAAGTTCACATTCTGTTTCGAGTGCCTCCCACATGAAGGGAGCAAAAATCGTATGCCCGACAACCCTGAGCTGGAGCTGAACGGCTTTGGTGTTTCACGGAGAGTTCTATTGCCTCTCTGTCTCTTTTCCATTTTTTTTTTAAAGAAAAATATCCGTTAGCGCAACAGGTGAAGTCTCGTGTATCAGATTTTCAAGAAATGTCACTCTTTTATGTTTTCTTAGAGCAATTAACTGAATACCCCGTGTGCGCACGGTCCGGCCCTTTGCTGCTCTTGGCCCTGCTCCAGCGTCTAAGATGCCAAAACCCTTTACTCTGCTTAATCTAAGTTGTGTGTTGGTGGCCTTAATTAAAAGGGCTCTGCTGTTTTGCCAGTGAGCGTGTAGTTCTAATAGTGGCTGAACAAGACTTGTTTTCTCGTTTCTTTTTCGGAACTGAGCCTCGCAGCTCGTTGCAGCAGCCTGGGCTTTCTGGCTGAAACAAAGCTCTCCTGCTCTAGTCCCGTCGAACTCAGTTGGAGAAGCAGAGGGCTGGTTCACGCAGCAGTCGCCGAGTTGTCTAGCCCAGGAACCGCCCGGGACAAGTGAAGTGGGGAACGCGTTGCCTCCCATGCGCCCTGGTCCAAGGTTGTTTTGTGACATGTGAACCTGGAAACCTTGGGTTGTTCATGGGTTAAACAGCTCAGAATTAATCCCGGAACAAAGCATGGCCACACCTGAGCTTGTTTACATGTGATAAAACCTCCGTGGAGCTTTTCCTGCATCACATCTGTTCCTGTTTGCATGTATTAGTCAGTGTTTTTCCCTGGATAAGAGACTTGTGCAATGCGTCTCTCCTTCTGTGCCTTGCTGCTTTCCATCTAGGATTCCATGAGTGCCAAGCAAGCGGAATTCAAAGTTTGATAGCAATGCAGAGCACCTACTTTAGCCTTTTTTACAGAATAACAAATCCACATGTTGTTTAACTTAAGGGACAAGACTATTGTGCTTTTTTGCAATAGCAGAAAGAGACATTTTTCCTGCCACGAAAAGCTGCACGTAGCAAAATTTTCCTCCTGCACAGCTGTTGATCAAAAAAGAGCTCTCCTGTTCCTCCGGCATCTCTGGAAGGGCTTAAAAGGCTGGAAGGTGGGCGTTCTGAATATGGCGATTCATTCCCTAGGAGAACGGAAAAAGAACCCGTTTGCTCTGTGCTTGTGCAACCAGGAGTAATTGCTTGCAGCTTTTTGGGGGGCTTGAAATAGCAGGAGGGGGTCTCCCCCCCCCCACTGCGCACCCTGTTGCTCTTTGTTGAACCTGCAGCTTCTCTCTCCGACTGATCAATAGAGCGGCTGTCAAAGCCGATCTAGACATTTCCTGGTCGCTTTTGGGTCGCTGCCCGAGTGCGCTTGCTGTGAATGCAGTTTGCCCGACGGAAGCGCGCATGCCTTTGTCTGAGCCCGACACTGTTTTTAACGTGCGGCTTTGTGCCCGGTGGAGAGAAGATCAGTAGAAGTGCACTGGGGCCCACATTGTGGACGAACACCCAGTCTGTGCTTTTCCGTGCACTTCTGAGGTCCCCTTAAAATAAGCCCTGCTCGGTCAGCCTCTAGCTCTGTACACCCTCATCCTTGGTGGAGATGTGGTGGATGGCAGTCGTGAGCGGTTCTCCAAATATTTTTTATTTCCTTCCCCTGAGCCTCCCCTGCGTGGCATTCAGCAAGCAGGCTGGTGGGGACTCTGGTCTGCTGCAAGTGGGGGCCGTGCCCCCCAAAGGGTTTTCAGCGCACCTCTAAACCTGCTGCTTCCCTTTTGGCTGGTACTCCTATTCAGAATGATTCCTGACACACCATATATTTTCTATACATAGCTTGGCTCTCGTAGAAATGCAGTTTGTCTCGGGACGGTTCATTCTTCCCAGCCTTCCGCTGAGGAACGCAAGGAGCATCGCTTGGGTCCCCCGGTGGACTCCCGCCCAGGGGCAGAATCGGTCCCAGGCCTGCCTGGTTTGGTGCGGTGGCTGCGGCCCAGGCCTTGAGAGCGTTGCCAGGGGCTCAGGCGCCACGGCTGCTCGCTTCTCACAGCACACGATCCCCTGGCCTTTGGAGGCGGAAAGCACCTGCTCAGCCCAGCCCAGCCCGCCGCCCCTGGGGGCCGAGAGCAGCGAGGGGAACGAAATGCTCCGCAAGGCCGAGATGCCGACGCAACAGAGGCGAACAGAAGCTGGCGGGAAGTGTCGGGGGTCCGTCGCTTCCGCATGGCGATGGAGAGCGAGCGCTGCCGGGGTCTCCGGCGTGTTGTGGTGCTGGGCGTCCCAGCGGGAGGTGCTGCTCTTCCAGGCCGTGCATCGGGCAACAGACTCCTGGCACAGGATGAGGCCCACATGCCTTGCTATATTCAGCACGGGAGAGGTGGAGGGAGGCTGCGTCGGGTCAGCCGGGGCCACCCAAAAAAAGCCGGCGGCCCTGCTGGGCCCCTCCATGCCTTTTGCGGGTTCCTCTTTTGCTGCCAACCAGAGAGCACCCGCCTAGAGCGGGGGAACGGCTTCCGTCTCGTCTCTTCTGCCTGTGCAGGGGCTTGCAATCCCCAGTCGGCCCCACACCTGTGTTTGTTGCGTGTTCGGTCCCGGAAACCTTCCCTCCTTGCACTCCGCAAACTCTTGGCTGTCCACCTGACCCCCGTTCTGGCCAGGGAGCCCAGCTTTGTGCTTGTGCTCAAGTGATAAATGACATGCTTTTGAGGCTGGGATTTTTGTGGGAGGCAGGGAATAGTTTAACTGCAAGAGAAAGAGGAGCGTCTTTAAAGGTACCGTCACTCTCTGCAGCTTGAATGCTGCAGCAGGGCCCCAGTCCTGCTGTAGCCCCTTCAGCTAAAATGATGAAGGGGCCGGATCCTGTATGAGAAGCGGCTGCAGCAACTGGAATTGTCCAGCTTAGAAAAACGGGGAGACAGGCGGGTGCCTGGTGCAGAGAAAGTAGAGGGAGACATTTCCGTCCCCTCCCTTCACAGCAGAGCCCAGCGGGGTCACCCCCGCCCCCCCGTGCAGCTGCTTGTGGGGGATTCTGGGCAGATCCAAGGCAGGTGCCCAGTGAAACCGGAGTGTGCACCTCCTCGGGAGGCGGTGACGGCCACCCATGGATGGGGGAGGCGGCTGCCTGCACGGATCCTGCAGGCGGCTGGCTTGCCACCCTGTGTTACGGTGTGCTGGACAGACCCTGGGTCTGATTTGGCAGGGCTTTTCTTGTTTATTTAATTTATATCCCGTGTCAGTAGTCCATCTAAGTGGGCCTGAAATGACGTTTCTTTGCCCAGAAGCAGGATGGATCGATTGTGTGCTTTGGGGTCAAAGAATGCCAGCCTTGCCGGGGTGGCGCGTGTGGATGCACGGTGGTTTTGTGCTGCCCAGGCCCCCGAAGTTTTCTGGTGCAGGTTGGGGAGCGGGGTGCTTCTGGGGGAGGGCTGCCGGCACCCCCGAGCAGGCGGCCTTCTTTCGCTTCATGCGTCCCCCACAGCAAGGATGCCAAGATGGGGGGCTGAAGCAGTGGGGGATTGGTGGGCTGGACGGCACAGGGCTGGGAAACCCTGCCCTTGCCAGTGAAGCTCCGTGGGCGGCCCACCGCCCGCCCCACCAGGCTCCACGCACGGGACAAGAGACCTCCCCACCGCCGCCGCAGTGCAGACATACCTAATGCACACAACCTACCTGTCTGGATGAGTCGAATCCTCGGGTTCAGTGAAAAGGCCTCTCAGTGCTGGAGGGAGGGAGGGAGGGAGAACCCATGTCAAATTTTCATTTGAAGTTTTAAGCTTTTTGTTCTGCTTTGCTTGGCTACCAAGAAGCTTCTCCTGCTTCACCTTTTAGCTGGCTCGCGCCTAAAGGGGTGGGAGCGGTTGAATCTTTTGTTTGGCTGTGGAAAATAGGTTTTCCTTTGCCACGCTGTGGCCATAATTAAAAATAGCCATTAATCTCCCGGTAGGGCTCTGGAGAAGCTCTGGGGAGGGAGGGCGAGGCGAAGCTAATCTTGTGGGGGCATTTCTGGCCTGGCCGCGGAGCGATCGGCCGGAGCGCCAAGGCATGGTGGCGGCGCCTAGAAAGCCTGCGGTGGGTCATGTCCCTGCCACTGCAACAGGGCCGGGGTGGCTTTTTGCCATCCCCTGGAGGAAATGCAGGGCTAGCGGCTGCAAGGAGGTTTTCCAAGCGCCCGTTTGCTGATCTCACAGAGAGCAGCTCACGGTGAAAATCCTGAAAGCAGGAAGCCCTGAGCAGCTGAGCGGAGGCAGCCGGAACCGCGAACGCCCCGACCCAGCCGGTTGCCCAGCGGCAGCCCCCCCACCCCGTCTGTCGTGGGACGGCTCAGGCGAGGAGAGGGTGACCCTCGGGTCCGTGGCATTCGGCTGTGGGTGACTGGGCCCTATGCAAGCGATGAGTCACCCGTGCCGGAGCCATGGGAACCGAGTCAACAGGCAGCTCTTGCAAAAGGCCGCATCGCGTCACCCGGGGAGGGAGCCGCCCTCCAGGCAGCCAGCAAGAAGCTGGCCCAACGAGGGGCTCTTTCCCCTTCGTTCCCCCCAGGGCAGGCATCAGTAGAGTCGGCCGCGGCATTTGGGGATGGACTGGCAAGCCAGCGCCTCCCTGAGCCAACCGGACAGGAAGCCCCTGGCCCCGGGGCTCGGCATGGCTTCTCCACGGCCAGGCACAGTAGCGTGGTGCGGGCCGGGGCCGGGTCTAGTCCCCAGGAGCAGCAGTGGCAGGAGTGTGTCAGCCGCTCCTGGATGCGGCCCCGGTTGCACACGTGGCTGCAGGGCGCAGGAGCTCAGCAAACGCTGCCCCAGGAACGTGTCCAGCCGCCTCCCCACCCAGAGGGCTGCTGCAGCAAAGGTCTGCAGCAGAAGCATTTCCCAGCAAAAGTCCCGGAGAGATGCAGAAGCAGTGACCCCCCCCCATGCAAAAGAAGGGAGGCCAGCTCCAGGGCCCACCTCCGAGCGGGGCCTGTGCTGTGACGAGCCTCGTGCGAGCCGTTGGCATCGCTCTGCGAGCGCTGCGCATCCACCCTTTTCTCCCTCGATTCCGTGTCTCGGCAGGACTGGAACGTGACGTGGTACACGCAGCGCCCCGATTTCACCACCTGCTTTCAGAATACCGTCCTCATCTGGATCCCCTGCGTTTTCCTCTGGGCTTGCTTCCCCGTCTACTTCGTGTACCTCCGCCGCCATGACCGCGGTTACATCCGGATGTCGCACCTCAACAAAGCCAAAACAGTAGGTGACTCGTGGCGTGGTCCCAGACGCGCTGGGTTGGGCTTGGCGGCGTGCCGTGGGCTTGCGGGGAGCAGGGCCTGCTCCGGCCGTGCTGCGGGGAGAGCAGGTGCAAGGTTACCGGGAGCCCTGCACGGGGCAAAAATACAGGCCAATTGAAAGTACAGAACATTGTAAGCCATAACGAGCCATTGGAAGTACCATAAAGTTTTATAGGTACCATAACCTAATTAAAATCGTGCAGCCGTTCCATGGGAACAAAGAAAGCCACCCTTATCCATAAGATTATTATCAAGCGGCAGGAGGCTCCCCAGCCCTCGTTTTTCTAGCCGCCAGAGCAGCCTCTGCCACTTGGGCAGGAGGGACGCAGCGTTGCCTGCGAGCGCGGCACAGATCTTACCTGACAAGGTCTGCTTCGTAGAGGGCTGAGGACGTGGCGGGGGGTGCTGGGCCTTGGGGGGCGTGCCATGGCACCGAAGGCAAGGGGTCCGGTGTCCTCGGCTTCGCCCGACCCACATTCAGTGTCGCTGGTGCGTTGGGGCACTGCGACGTGCCCCGTGAGGCAGATTGTGTGTCTGTGAGCAATGAAGATGGGTCTCCCCAGTGTGAGTTTCCTGCCAGTGTGTGGCTTTTCGTTGCTGAAATGCCGTTTGCGTTACAGGCCTTGGGCTTCTTGCTGTGGATCGTCTGCTGGGCAGACCTGTTCTACTCTTTCTGGGAAAGAAATCACAACATCTTCCGAGCTCCGGTTTTTTTAGTCAGCCCTACCATTTTGGGCATAACCATGGTAAGTGGATTCTTCTGAAATTGCAAGCTGTTCGAGCAGCAGATGCTGAGCCCCACCCTAGAATGACTAAAAAGCCTCTCGAAATGCCGTTCCTTCCCTGCTTGGAACAGACGAGTGTCCTGCGCTCTCCGGCATTTCCCAGCCAGCTGTAGGACCTCCTTCTGTCCAGCCATGCGTAGGACGGCCCAAATGGGTTAGGTGCTGGAGAGCCAGTGACACCTCGCCTCTGGCTGCCCAGAGCAGGGTCCGCAGACGCAGCGCCAGGAACACACCTGCCTCTCGGGCACGTTCCCAGTGGCCTTGTTTCTCCTTTCCCCCTAGTTCCGCAAGCATCCCCGGACTGTTCTTGACCGCTGCTTGATTCCTCTCTCCGCAGTTGCTTGCCACGTTTTTGATACAGTACGAGAGGATGAGAGGCGTGCAGTCCTCGGGGGTTCTGCTCCTCTTCTGGCTCCTCGCGCTTCTGTGTGCCACCGTCACTTTCAGATCCAAAATCATGCAGGCCTCGCTTGCGGTAAGCCGCGCCTTCGGGTCAAGCACAGATAACTGTGGCGGTTGCAAGGGGCTGTTGGTGTAGCAACTGGACTCGTGAGCCTGCGGGAGTCCTGGAGAGCGGTGGGTTAATGACGCGGCAAACGCTCGCTTGGGAGCGTAAAAGCCGCTGGGCTGCGCTGCGCTTCGGTTGTTTTCTTTGAAGCGCTGGCCGGAGCCTTGATCTTGCCACGCAGCCATGCAGAGATACCCTGGAACAAAGACGCGGCCACTTTCTCTTGAAGGTGCTTGTGAAACGCGTCGTTGGTCTCCCTGATTGTGACAAATTCTGGCAGTGCCCTTCTACGCGTGTGCGAGCGCACACACAAGAGCAGGCGTTCTGCAGATGAGGCTGCGTGGGACCGCTCTTGCCTTCCAGACATCTGGAAAATGGGCACATCGCACTTGGCCAGAGGCTGGAACTAGGGCGCAGGCATGGCGAGCGCCTGGCTCATGTCTCCATCTCAGTGAACAGTTAATCTTCCTTAGCCGCCCCTGCTCTCACCTGTCCCGTTAGCCTCCAAGGGCCGCATTCACCTGCTGAGTGCAGGTAGCTATCATGCTGGTCTCCCTCCTTTCCTTCAAAGAGCTTCAGGTGGCGCTTTGGCTCCATGCCCATTTTTCCTTCACAACAACCTTGTGAGGTAGGCTGGGCTGAGGGGAGTGATTGCCCCAGGTCATGTAGTGAACTCGGCAGCTAAGCTCCGACTTGAACTCAGGTTGGAGGCAACACCTTGTCCCAGTGCTGTTCCTCAGCAATGGATATCAATCAACCTGCCGCCCCCAAGTCTGGAGTTTCTCCCTCCTCCATCACGGGGAATTGGGCTAATCATTCTCTAAAACCATCAGATAGTCAAGATTCCACATCTGGTGGAAGCAGGGTCCTGATTTAATTATGGCCCGGGTGGAAAAGCCCCTTCTGATTTAATCCAGCCTGGACCTCCTGCGATCGGTTGCGCTGCTAGATCTGAAGTTCTTGCACTGTGAGTGTGGCACAGGCCCCCCGCGAGCTTTGTCCAAGCCATCCCCGTGCGGAAAGTTTCCACCAGCCGACTGACAACTCTCCCCAATGCTCTTTCTAGGGTGCCGCTGTGGATATATTCCGCTATGTCACCTTCTCCATCTACTTCACTTTGGTGCTAATAGAGCTCATCCTGTCCTGTCTCCCGGAGCGCCCACCCTTGTTTTCAGAAACAGTTCACGACCCCGTAAGTAACAGGCCTTGATTTTGCTGCAGGAGGAGACTGGGAGCGACCCTGGGTGGGTGGGGTGGTCCCGGCTTGTTTACCGAAATTGCTCCTGATAGTTCTGCCCACCACGTGGAAGCCCCACGCCAAAACAAGCCATCTTGAGGTTTCCTCTACAGTGTCCAGAAAGCAAAACGAGTATTGGCTGAAATACTGCTGGTGGTTTTGTTTTCGCAAAGGTCACTTGGTTTCTGTTTTTCTGTTGCTATAAATATTGCAATCTGGAAATGGGTTTTGTGTGTGTGAGACAGAGAGAATCAAAACTGGTATTCTCAAATCAAGTTGGGGAAACTGCAAGAAGATACTTGCAAATTGGAAGGTTTTTCTAATGCTTTGCAAGGTCTCTCTGTTGGCTGGGATGCATGCTTGTGTGGTATGTCTTCAGAAGCAGCCACGAGCTGCAATTCCTTCTGTGTTTAAAGATGCTGCCAGTCCTTAGCCAGCTTCCTAGTAATGATACACAACCGTTCCATTTTGGCGGCTGCCAAACCCTCGCCCTGGTTTAGTCCTGCGTGGAACTAGGGTGGAACGTGTCGCGGAAGACGAGCGTGAGGCTGCCTGCTCAGCCCCGAGAAGCGGGCGGTCTTCCTGGCAAGGTGTGGACTCTGATGGAAGTGAAAGAAGGCCGTGCAAAAGGTGCACATTCCGAAACAAATTGCAGCTCCAGAAGAGCCCTAGATCTTGACGGTAAACAATGAAGAAACAGAAATTGCGAAAGATTTTGCATCCCTTGGCTCAATCAGCCGTTCAGACTGAGGCTGCAGCCAAGAACTGTGGCCGAGATTAGGGAGGGCAGTGATGAGGGAATTCGGAAGGACACCAGGCGAAGGATGCTTCGCCGGAGCCCAAGGCCGAGCTCGCCTGCACTGTTGCGTTCGTGGCCACAGCTCGTCTTGCTATGAAGGCTGGACACTGAAGGGAGCGGAGAGGAAGGAACCGGGGCATGGGAACGAGGCGCTGGGGGAGAGCTGTGGGAATACCTGGGACGGACAGAAAGGTGAGCAATGGCTCAGAGTCCACTCAACCCAGAGCGTCACTGGAGGCAAGAAGGGCGAAGCTGCCGTGTGTCGGGCACATCGCACAAAGGCGAGGCTCCCAGGAGGAGGTCATCGTGCGGGGGAAAGTCGAAGGCAGGAGAAGAGGGAGACCAAGGACGGGATGGATCCGTCGCACACCTGCGATTCCACGAGCCGAGCAGGGCTGGCAAGGACAGGACGCTGCAGAGGACGGGGGTTGCCCTAAGCCAGGGACAGTGCGGCAGCCCACCCCAGCTGCAACACCCAGCCCGCTTTCGCTCCCTCTGCTCAGCGCGGCAGAAGCGCTCGCTTCCCTTTCAGGACCCCCCGAATCCCCGCGTGTGTGGAGACTCCAGCATGCTGGGGCCCGTTTGTGGATGAGCCACGCTGGACCGGTAGTCACGGGGAGCGTCGCCCAAGTAAAGCCGTCTTGGTTGATCAACCGACATGGACTGAGTCTGTTTGTGTCCCACACAGTGGAGCGTGGCCAGGAACCAGGCTGGAGCAGTTTGTGCGCTTTTCTGTCACGTGGCACGGAGCTGCACACACCTGGAAAGGGTGTGTGCTCTTTTCTGAGAGGAAGGGGCAGCTCCTCCCCGAAGGAAACGGCTTGCCTTTGAGCAGAGTGGGGTGCGAAGATAGCTGCGTGAACCGGTGTGCATCCCAGCTGTCTGCAGGAAGACTGTTACACTGAAGTGCCGCTTTATTACGCAGAGGCAATGTCTTCGTTTGTTTTTGGCCTTTCTGCAGCGTGCGAGCCTGTTCAGTGGAGTTGGTGGCCGGTTTGCTAGCAGCCCGAAGGCCTGCCATTGCCCAGCCCACCCTTACAGACCCCGTCCCCGTCCCTCATGCCTGCGTCTTATCTGCAGCCTCCTGCACGGTCGTGTGCTCGCAGGGCTGACTCAGCTGAGCCCAAGCCACATCCTTTTCTGCAGACCCTCCCTGCTTCCGCTCACAGCATCGCGCAGGCCTCTCGGTCAATCACAGACCACGCGCTCCCTCGGGGGCTGGCGGAGGACACCTGGCACCCGCCGGCTTGGCTGTGGCCGGTCAGGAGGGTGCCCTCGTCCTCTGTCCCTGGCTTCGGGCACTCGCCGCAGCCGAGCGGCCTGCAGGGGACGCCCCTTTCCTCCCGCCAAGCGCACGAGCAAACGGAGCAGGGAGCCGGTGAAGTCCCAGCCCTTATCTGGAGTAAACAAGGGCAGGCGGCGTTGTGGGCAACCCGCCCAGCGCTCGCGGGAGCCAGCACAAGCTGGGCTGCTGCGCGGCCGCCTTTCTCCTCGGCAGCAGCTCAGCTGAAGCGGCCCCTGCGTCTCCGTTCTGCAGTTTGCGGCCGAGCTGGGATGCTGGCGAGGGACTGCACCCTGCAGACTCTGCCCTTTTTCTAACCCTCCCGGCTGACAGTTTATGTGCTGGGGGAGGGCAGGGAAAGGGAAATGAAATCCAATGGCTGCTGTCGGAAGATGCTTAGAACGAGGGCTCCAAACAGTCTGTGGTCCACAAAGCACCTCTCTCAAAAGTCTCGTCTTTTTCTGCTGCGGTTTGTAACAGCAGTGAAATGGCTCATTTTTGTGCATCTGGGCGTGTGAAGGCTATCTGGGGTCCCCACGGCATATGTGTGAGTCGACCGGCCTGTTTCGTCAGCTTGAGAGACGAGACAGAAAGGGGAAGTGCCGTAGCTTGGTCACGTGGTCCAGTCCTGGGTCTCCGGGTGGTGCTGGAGAAGGCCCCTCCCTGAGACCACGTGGGCCACGGCTCGGTCTTGATGATGCCGGGCACGATGGGCTGACTCAGCCAAAGGCAGCTGGCCATGGACCTCGATGTTAACTCTTCTTCCAGAGGCTTAATTGCAAAAAGCGCCTTTCCACTGAGAATTAGCTGATGCCTCAAAGTGACATTAAATGTGCCATCATGCACAGTCCAACAAGGAAGGGAAAGTCTCAGCTCGGCTCAGAAGGGACGAAGACGCTAGGCCTCATTCCCCAGTGGGGGGCTGCCACCAAGGAGGCCCCGTCCCTCGTTGCTGGGTGCTGAGCCTCAGCTGGGCCTCAGGACTCTGGGTAGGCTCACATCAGGATGCGATATTTCAGGCTGACTGGCTGGGTCTCTCTCCCCACAGAACCCCTGCCCGGAGTCCAGCGCTTCTTTTCTGTCCAAGATCACTTTCTGGTGGATCACAGGGTAAGAGAACAAGCCCCTTCAGGGCCGAGACCCACAAACACCTGCTTTCATTCATGTGTGAGTGATGCCGTCTGCTCATGTGCGGACGTGCTTATCGGTTCGCCCTTTTGCTGTGTGGACGTTTGGGTCGTTCTGCGTGGTTGTGTGAGCCGCCTTTGCGCGTGAACGCTGCTGCCGGCAACCCGCAAGCGTGAAGAAGCAGGGAGCTTGCAGAAGCACTTGTTCAATACAACGTGGCATAAATAGGAGCATTTGGCTTGATCCTGTAGAAAGCAGGAGCTAAATAAACCCGTGTAGACCCGTGGTAAGTAAAGAACACGCTTAACAAGCATCTGAAGGTGGACAACAAAGGGCTGTTTTCGTAAAGGGCAGTGGGGTGTAGTGGTGAGAGTGCCAGACTGGGACTCAGGGGCGTGCCAAGCAAGGTGGGGGTCCTGGTGCCCCCATCCTGTGAGGAAACTTGAAAGTTTTGGCCTGGTGAGCAAAGAAGGGGCAGCCATTCTGATGCTGGAGCTCTTTCTTCCCTTCTGCTCCAATGAGCAGGGCCCGAACGGAAGGGGAGGGTGGCTAAGCCCTCGCACCGTTTCAGGCCAGAATGCGCTGTTTAAAGGGCTGGTGCATTTTGCTGCCACGCAAAGGCTTCCCTGCTCCAACCAACGGTCGTCCCTCTGACACAGGCTACTGGTTCGGGGGTACCGGAAGCCGCTGGAGCTCAAAGATCTGTGGTCGCTGAACAAGGAAGACATGTCGGAAGAGGTGGTGCCCGGGTTGGCCCGGAACTGGGCGAAGGAGTACACTAAGGCAAAGAGGCAAGTGCGGGGCAGCCTGCCTCCCGTCTTCGCGAGTCCGGGGCTGAGGAAGACTCGCTCTGCTTCGGTTGCCCTTCCTCTCAGTCCCTGCCTTGCTCTCCCAGGGTCCGTATCCTCTCCGAGGGCCAGGCGCTGAAGCAACCGGCTGCCTGTGCCAAACACAAGTCCCATGGGGTCCCGTGGCCGCAGGGATGGGTTCCAGGCCCCTCCGAAACCACGGAGAGTGGTGAACACAACCCATCGCGCACAGAGACCCTTCCCGTCTCTGTCTTGCACCCAGCGTGATCACGCATGTAAAGAAACGTGAACGGGATGTAAATACTGTTGATCAAAAGCAAAGTCCCCGAAGGTCTGCTGATGGCGGCCTGCTGCGTGCTTCTCTCTCGCTAGGCTGTCGACGCCGATAGCGTACTCTCCGAAGAAGCCGGCGAAACTGAGTGGCTCAAACGGGGACGTGACGGAAGAGGCCGAAGCCCTCATTATCGAGCCTTCCCAGAGAGACAAGGAGCCGTCCCTCTTTAAGGTGCTGTACAAGACCTTTGGGCCGTACTTCTTCATGAGCTTCCTGTTTAAGGCCTTCCATGATCTGATGATGTTTGCTGGACCTGAAATCTTGAAGTGAGTGTCGCACGCTCTTCCTCCCATCCTTGCGAAGGGGGTGGCCGAGGAGCTGCTGCAGGCGCTTGTCCTGGGCTGCCGAGCCGGCGGATGGAGCTTGCGCTGCTTTCCAAACTCGGCTCTTTCAGAAAGCTGCCAGGGACCTAACCGTTGCCTGCAACCCTAGCCACTGGCTTGCGGAGATACCTTGCGCCCCTCTGTGGCCGTAGGCTCTGCAAGGAAAGGAGCTGATGCTCCCATGGCCGCATCCCACGCCAGCAGGGGCCTTTCCCTGCACTGCAGACTAACCTGCGGCGTTCCCGCTGCCAGGCAGCTGGCAGGGCCGGGTTGAGCCGAGCCTCCAGGCGCCACGTGCGGCCTCCCCCCACTCCGCAGCTCCCTCACCGCCGCCCAACCTGTCCCCTTCCAGGCTGCTCATTAACTTTGTCAACGACAAGGATGCGCCCAGCTGGCAGGGCTACCTGTACACGGCACTGCTGTTCGTCTCGGCTGGCCTGCAGACGCTGGTGCTGCACCAGTACTTCCACATCTGCTTCGTGACGGGCATGAGGCTGAAAACGGCCGTGATCGGCGCCGTCTATCGGAAGGTAGCCTCGGAGATCTGAGCCGTCGCTCTGCCAGTGCGGGCTGCGGCACGCCCTGAAATTGGCGTGGCACAGAGGCCCCTCTGCTCTGGGCCGGGCGGCTTTGCTGAGCGTCGCGCTGCTGTTTGTCCCCGCCTGGTAGTGGCGCGTGTGCTGCGGACGACCGGCTTGGCCGGCCTTTTCATGGCATCTTTGTGCCCAAAGGGATCTCAGCGGCTTTACACAGCAACCTCGCTCTGGGGGAGGCAAAGGGCCGCTTGGAGAAAGCAGCAGAGCCGCCGTGCGCTGGCTCCTACGGGGCCCAGGGGGCTCCGCTGGCCGGCCGGCCTGCCTCCCCCTGGTCAGGCGGCGGGAGACCATCTCGCCTGCCCAGCCTCCCGTTTCAAATCGCCTGCTCAGAAATCTCTTGAGACAAATGGGGTGCCAGGCGGGGCAGCGGGTGCTGAGGGAGGGGTCTGTGGGCACGTGGGGACTCCCAGGGGCTCTGCGGGAGACCCCTGCTGGACTCGTCCGCATGCTGCCCCGCCCCCCCAGGCCTTGGTCATCACAAACTCAGCAAGGAAGACGTCGACCGTGGGGGAGATCGTCAACCTGATGTCGGTGGATGCCCAGCGGTTCATGGACCTGGCAACCTACATCAACATGATCTGGTCCGCCCCTCTTCAAGTTGTGCTGGCGCTGTACTTGCTGTGGCAGGTAATGGGAACTTGGGGGCCGCGCTGCCCTCCGCATGCTGGCGGTGTTTGTCTCCTTCGCCGGCTCATGGAGACGCCAGCGGTCCAAGGATCTGGGCCCTCGAGTCTCCGGTTGCGGGGCGTGAGGAGGTGAGGACGGGCGCGTCCCTCTCATGCGGAACCCCAGCCGAGCAGGAAGGCCTGAGCGTGCGGAAGAGCTCAGACGCCATCAGGCCGCCGGCTGGTTGAGCCGAACGGCGCAGCAAATGGCCGTGGCCGTCCAGGGCCTCGGGCAGCAAAGGGCCTTTCCAACATAGCACTGCGCCCTTTGCGGCTGGACACGCTGGGGACCGAAGGGCAGCGGGCAGCAGCCTTCCTGTTCTGCTGGGGTGTAGGGTGGGGAAGGGCTACTGCGTCTGGCAGGTAGCCCTGGGCACCTCTCCTGCACCGCAGGGCAACGCTCCGAGGAACAGATTTGCACGTCGTTGCCATTTAAAATAATTACTAAGCGCTTCTTGGGTCAGAAGCCTTCACATGGCAGCGTTTAAGAATACCGTGCACAAAACCAGTGCGACATTAAAAGTGCTGAAAAGCGCCACGAAGCCGTAGAAGAGCAAAGACTGGCCACTCCAGTCCTGCTCACGCGGCGCTCCCACTTGCTCTTTCAGAATTTGGGTCCCTCCGTGCTGGCAGGCGTGGCCGTCATGTTGCTGCTCGTGCCGGTGAATGCCGTGATAGCGATGAAAACAAAAACCTATCAGGTAGGAGAGGTTTCCCCCGGCCAAGGAGGGGCCCGTGCTCGTGTGTCTCTCTCACTGTTGCAAATTGTGCGTCTTGCTGTGGCAGACTGGCAGGCATCTCACACACTGGGTGCGATCAGATGGGTCACGGTAACCAGACGGCTGCTTCGCTGTGCTGGGCAAGAATCTCCAGGTCTTCCGGGGGTTGTCTGATCCAGCTTGCACGTGACTAACCAAGGGCTAAACAGCCCATAGTTTTTGTTTGTTTGGAGTATTTGTATGCCGTCCTTTCACATAGTCTCAGGACGGCTTACATTAATAAAAAGAATAAAATAAAACATAATACAAATAAAATCCAGATCCACCGTGGCTGCAGTTTAAAACCTATATAGCTAATGTTGTAAGTTATTAAAATATTGTTGAAATAAAAAGGTCTTAGCCTGGCGCCGAAAAAGAAATAACGAACTATAATAACGGTTAGTGGGAACTGCCCAGGAGCAGGTGAGCCGCTGTTTCCCACCACTCACTGCCCCCGTTCTCAGATGCCCGTGAACAGGTCGTTTCTTGTGAACCCAAAAGTCTGGGCTGCTGAGACACACACAGCCCAGAGTTTGAAGCCATGGCTTGTTGGTGGGTTAAAACTTTGGATCCTTTGTCCAACAGGCCAGTGTTCCAGGTTGGCACGTCACATCCAGCAAGCTAGGAGGGGGGCATTGCTGGGCCATTTGTGGGAATGGATGCAGAGCAGACGTGGTGGGACGCCTGGGCGACGAGCGCGCATGCTTGCCCTGGCGTGACCCCACTAATGCTCGGCTTAAGCAGCCGATGAACTGGGGGCAGACCAGGTCTCGGCAGACAACCAAGCCCTGTGCGTGGAGAGGCTTGTAAGCGCTGCAGGAGGCCGGCGATGGCTCCGGGCCACTTTGGCGAGGCTGGGCAGGCAGTTTAAGCTGCCTTTGCCACGGAGTGACCTGGTGCTGAGACATCTTTTCTCTTAAGCCTTGCTGGCTCAGGAAGGAGGGTCCAAAGCGGGCCAGTGTCTCGATTTGCAGGGATCTCTTCCACGTTGGTCCATTTCCCATACATGTTTAAAAATTTCGACTCTCTCTGATGGAGTTCCCCCAACGACACACATGACAAATGCAAGAGCGGGTGGAAACAACAGAGCGGCAGTGAGAATGCTGCCATTAAAGTCCGGCCGTAGAAGCAGTCGCCGCATTGCAAATAAAATTCCTGCGCTGTACTTCGTGAAGAATCAGCTGAACGGCTGGATCGCCCACAGCTACCAGTCACATTAACTCCGGTAACAGGTCCCTGTGCGGGACCAACTCGAAGGCGGCCCTGACTCGCTCCTGCTGGAATTGGGTCGTTTCAGGTCGCTCACATGAATAGTAAAGACAACAGGATTAAGCTGATGAATGAAATTCTCAACGGCATCAAAGTGCTGAAACTCTACGCCTGGGAGCTGGCCTTCAAGGAGAAGGTCCTGGGCATCAGGCAGCAGGAGCTGAAGGTGCTGAAGAAGTCCGCATACCTCTCTGCCGTGGGCACGTTCACGTGGGTTTGCGCGCCATTCCTGGTGAGTGCGGCGCGGCGGTCCCTTCCCCTGCTCTCATCCTCGCAACGACAGCCCTGTGAGGTAGAGCGCGAGCATCCCACCCAGTCCCCCCATGAGCTTCATGGCGGAGCGGAGACTCGGGCCCAGATCTCCCACCTCCCCACTCCAGAGCTCGCGCCACTCGCTCGCCGGTGGAGGAGGGCTGGTGTGCCGTTTGCCTTGCCCCTTCTTGTCGGGACACAAGGGCCAAGCCGCAACCCCCTTGGGCCCAGGGCGCGTGTGGTGCGAACGTGCGGACCCCTCTTGCTTCCAGGTGGCCCTGTCGACCTTCGCCGTCTACGTGACCGTCTCGGAGAAGAATGTCCTGGACGCGCAGAAGGCGTTCGTGTCCCTGGCCCTGTTCAACATCCTCCGCTTCCCGCTGAACATCCTCCCCATGGTCATCAGCAGCATGGTGCAGGTCGGCCTCCTCGGGCTCCGGCAGCCCTTCCCAGGAACTGGGCGGCATGGCCTGCACGGCGTCCCCTCTGGACGGGGGCTGCAGCCTGGGTGGCCTCCCCCCCGTGCGCCACACGCCATCCCTGCGAGGGCCATGCATGGCAGGCAGACGGGCTCGGCGCCACCCCTCCCTGCCCTGGCCGAGCCCCCCGTCTGGCCCAGCGTCCCTCACTTGAGATGGGGCCCGGGGCCCTGGGGAGCCTCTGAGGACCGGATGAGGCCCGTGGGTGGGGGCCTCCCATCCCCACCCAGGGAGAAGGAAGGGAATTCACAGCTGTGGCCCAAGCCCCAGGGCTGTCCGTGCACCGGGCGACCTCCCCTTCGTGGGGCAGAACCGGTGGGCGCCCCAGAACGGAGCTGCAAGCAGGTGGGGCGCTAACGCAGCCCCCGGCTTTGTCGCCCAGGCCAGCGTGTCCCTGAAGCGCCTCCGCGTGTTCCTGTCGCATGAAGAGCTCGATCCGGACAGCATTGTCAGGAGTTCCATCCGAGACGGTAAGCTCCAGCCTCCCTGGGGAGGCGTTTTGTGCTCCTCCTGCAGCAGCCGCACTGCCACTGCACCCTCCTCCCCTGAGACGTTCCACCAGCCCGGCGTTTGTGAAAAGGCGACGTAGAGATGCTGTCATGGAATGTGTGGCTCACTGAGACATCCTGGCCGTGGTTCTGCACGTTCTGGGGCTCACCGGTGGAGAGCTGAGTGGCTCCGGTGTGCTTGCGCTTCCGTTAAATCGGCAGGAGCCCCTTGGCTTCCCTGGTCCCAGCGGGAACCTCTGCTGAACGAAGGCGCTCCAGAGCCGCAGTGCAGCTCACGCCTGTCCTTTCCTGCAAGGAGGCTGCCGGGGCGAGGCGAGGCGAGGCGGTGCTCTGGATGGGGAGGGGGCTGGCGCCTCCGGCCCCCTCTCCCTTCCCCCTGCCATCCTGTCTGTCCACCATCGTTTTACCTTGTTTCTGCTCTTGTCGAGCTCAGAACGGGGAGCCGTCTTGCGCAAGAGCTTGGTGTGCACGTGTGCAGTCTGTCTGACAACAGCCTCTCCTCTTGTGCTTGCTAGCCGACGGCAACAGCATCACCGTGCGGAACGCGACCTTCAGCTGGTCGAGAGAGGACCCTCCGTGCTTGGACAAGTAAGCACGGCGCTTTCCCCCTCGCAGCACCTCCGGGTTTTGATGGCGGGACGGACGGAGTTTTTATCCCTCTGGGCTGCCCCTCCGACGGGCTCCTTCCGGGAGTTACTCCATTGCCAGGTGTCATGCGTGGCCGGGGCGGCCCCGAGTTTGGGTGGGATCCTCAGAGAGGAACCGGGTTCTCCCCGGGCGGTGGGGAGGGCCTCGGGGCCTGGTGACGCTTCCGAGGCTGCGGGGGGCGGACTGAACCTGGCCCTGCCACGCAAGGTCGCCGTTCCTCGCGCGCTGGAGAGCAGCTGCTGCAGAGCTGAGGCGCGCAGGATTCGGCTTGCCGGATCTACCTCGATGTTCAGGAGGCGCACGGGATCCGACAGCCAGAGCCGTCTAACGTGGGATGGGAGCGTCCTCGCTGTTGCTGCAGCTGGGACACGGAGTCATGGACTCCTGCTCCTCTGTGCCAGCCTCTCGGAGAGCGCCCCCCCCCCCAAGCGATCGCCCTCCTTCAGTGAACTTGTGCTGCTCTTCGGTCGATGCACAGAAACCCCAGATCCAGGCCTTCCCGTTTGCTCACGTGACTCTGTGCCCGGCCTGGCCGTGCTGAAGCGCCCGCTCGTTTCTGTTTGTCTGATCCAGCATTGAGTTCACGATCCCAGAGCGCTGCTTGGTGGCCGTGGTCGGCCAGGTCGGGTGTGGCAAATCCTCGCTGCTGTCCGCGCTGCTGGGGGAAATGGAGAAGCGGGACGGATATGCCTCTCTTAAGGTACGCCCGGAGCAGGGCGCCTCTGCTCGCCCAGGAGAGGGTGCAGGCTCCGGGAAAAGATCCTGGCCGTCCCTCGAGGCGAGGCCGAGTCCCTGGATGAGATGCCAATGCCAGGAAGGCCATTGTCTCCTTCCAAGTCCACGGTGCGTGTCCTTGGGAGCACAGAGGAGCGAGTCCTGCTGCCTGCTCATGGTCCCCCTCCCGGCTCACCCTCCTGAGCCACAGCAGGCATTTCCGGGGTCCGCAGTACCGTGTGAGCTTGCGTGAGCCAGCTGGGAAGCTTTCCTCCGATCCTCAGACTATCTATTCCCATCAAGCGTGGGGTGCCTGGATCACGCCCATTCTCTTCTCCTGCTCTGGGCTGGTTTTTCAGCGCTTAAAATTGTGGGGTGGGCAGGTGGGATGAGCTGGTGGTGACGGGGTGGTGTGGAAGGGGAGGCCCTGCACTTTTCTGTCTTGCTGTGCCAGTCCGGTCGCCCGAGTAGACCCAAAGGCCTGGCACCCTTTCTCGACAGGGCACCGTCGCCTACGTTCCCCAGCAGGCGTGGATCCAGAATGCAACTCTGAAGGAGAACATCGTGTTTGGGAGGGAGGTGAAGGAGAGCCAGTACAGGCGCGTGATCGAGGCCTGTGCGCTCCTGCCGGACTTGGAGCTGTTCCCCTCAGGAGACCAGACAGAAATTGGAGAAAAGGTATCCTGGTCCAACCCGCTGCTGGTTCCAGGTGCACGAGGCCTTGCGTGTAGGAGAGCGGCTTAGGTGGGCTTACCCGTCGCACTTTGTGTGAGCAGGACACCTACACAGAGAGCCGTGTGCGCTGCCTCCGGCTGCTGCGTGCAGGAAACGCTTCCACCGTCCTCTGTCCCCCACTCTGCCCCAAAACTGCTGCCCTGTGAGGAAGCCCTCCGGGAAGCAGAAGCGGAGCTCTCAGCCTTCTCGGCGCCGCCCCAGCATGCCTCTGCCTCCTCTTCCTCAGGGCGTGAACCTGTCAGGCGGCCAGAAGCAGAGGGTCAGCCTGGCGCGGGCCGTCTGCTCTGACGCCGACATCTACCTGCTGGACGACCCCCTGTCGGCCGTCGACGCTCACGTCGGGAAGTACATTTTCGACAAAGTCATTGGGCCCAAAGGAATCCTGAAGAACAAGGTGCGCAACCGAGCAGGTGGCCGATCCCCCTGCGAAAGCGAGCTGCTTGCCAAGCTCCAGGAAGCGCCTGAGGAACACAGCCGTCCTGTCTCGTCCTCGAAGCTCGGGGCGCCACGTGTGGCACTCTGCACCACGCTGGTCGGCGGGGGCTTGTGGGTGGCGGCCGCGATTCCCTCTGTGCCCGGCAGCTGGGGTTGTGCGCGCACGCCAGAGAGCTGAACCCACACTCAGGGAACACATTACGCAGATGAGGCGCCTGGGACTGCGTTCGAGCGACACGCTCCCACCTGCGCAGGACTCCCCACCGCACCCCGAGCTCCAGGCTCTCATTGGCCCCATCTTCCCTCCCTCCCTCCTCCAGACGCGGATTCTGGTGACCCACGGCGTCAGCTATCTGCCCCTGATGGACACCATCATCGTCATGACGGAAGGCAAGATCTCGGAGATGGGCTCTTACCAGGAGCTGCTGAAGCAAGACAGGGCCTTCGCCGAGTTCCTGCGCACATACGCCAGTGCCGAGCAGAGCGTGGAGAGCGAACGTGAGTGGCCAGGCCCTTCTGCCCGCCCTTCCGCAGGAGCGCTCCCGGGACAGGCAGGCACCGACGGTTGTGCCGTGCCTCATGCCGCCTCTGCATGCCAAGACAGACGCGACTGCAGCTGGGCGTTGCGGGCACCTTCCTGTCCCAACAAGCGCAAAATCCTGCCCTTCTCCACTCAGCCAGGGAACACCCCATCTGCCTTGACACCAGTCAAGAGTGTGGCCAGTGGAGAGTTTGGCAGCCTCCCCAGTGGCTCCGACTCTGACTTCTGGGTTGCGAGGCCCCCATTTCTGGGGCCGGGCCGGGTAAGATCTTCCCGAGAGCAGCGAGCGCAGCAGCACTCGCCTTTCCCGTCCACCCGGGTGCTCGTAGCGCCTCCCTGCTTTCTGTCTTGGAAGTGGTCTCCTCTGCTGCGAGGGTTGAACTGGGCAACCTTTCAGGCGGATATAACCACCTGCCTGGGATTTCTCAACCTCCTTGGCAAGAGGGGTTGCTTCGTGGCAGAACGTTCTCGGTGCCAGCCTGCCTATCAAGTAGCTTTGTTCTGTCTCCGCTTTTCTGTTGGCTGGAAGAGGATTTGCGGTGACCCTTGTTCCCGGGAATTGTTCGCCGGAATGGGGGTAGGAGAGTCACACAGCTCTGCAGCTATTTGCTGAACCCTTTGGATGCTTCCGGCCTTTGGCTGTATTGCTTAGTAAAACAAGCGGCATCCATTTCCCCCTTTCGTTATGCCTTGCAATTATGCGCTTTCCTTTCACCGACCAAGATCAGCTGGCGTGCAATTCTGCAGGGCTTCTGCAGAAGTCTGGCTGGACTGTGCGCGCCTTGGCAGATTTGTCTAAGACGTAATCTTCCTACGAGTATGAAGACTAACGATTTCCCAACCTCTCTCTCTCTCTCTCTCGGCTTGCGGTGATAAATCCCACCCTTCAGGGAAGAGAGAAGAAGGTTTGCCTCTTCCTGCTTCATAACAGAATAGCTTTCTTTTCAATTACAGTTTTGCCTCTCGGTAATCTTTCGGTGGTGCTAAAGCTTCCTTCTGTCGTGAATTTTCGGGTACCAGTTCAGAGCAGGAGGAAGGCTTGTGTGCCTTTTCTCTGCCTGCTGTTAGATTTTAAAATCAGGCGCAAGGCTCCCATCAGGCAGCTTTGGGGGTTCAGGCACACACACACCCCTGCTTTTTTCCCAAAGAGACACCTGCAGAGGCTGCGGGGCTGCGATCATAAAAACAAAGCGCCACGGCGGTGGGAAGCTGTCCTGGGCAAGCCCTGCTGAGATGAGTGGCAGCTGCACGGGAATGCTGCCCTTCAGCCCCGGCAGGATGTTGCTGCTGCCTTTGGATCCGTGTTCTTCCCTTTTTTCTCTCCTTAAGTTGAGCCACGGGGTTGTGCTGGGGCTCGAGGGCCAACTGAGCCGCCAGGTTCCTTCCCGCTGTTCTCAAATGACTTTTTCCAGGGTGCTCAGTGGGGCGGGTGGAGAGGGGCCAGTTCGGCTCAGAAGCAGGCCGCTGACTCATCCCGGGAAGAGAGGTCCCTTCTCATTTGGATTGGACGGCTTTTGGGCGTTTCTGCCTGCCTGCTCCGCTCTGCTAGCAGGAAGGAAAGCTCAGCAGCATGCACAGGAGTCCCAGCATTTAGCATCCGTCTCGGACACAGCCCCTTCCGTATTTCCAGGTGCCTCATCTGTTTCTCAGATGGGCTGGAAGGGAATTTGCCGTGCTGAGACCCTTCCGAGAGGCCCAAGAGCTGCTGGGCTGGAAGTCAGGAGCCGTCCACCCCACCTGGCTTCCTACAGCAGAAGCTTTTAGTTCAGTTGCCAGTCCTAATGCAAGGCAGCAGATCTCATCTGAGAATATAATTTGGCACTTGGACTTCAGATTCGCCGGAGGATGACGTTCGTTCTGTATTTTTGTGTCGTCCCACAGATGCAAACAGCCCGACCACGAAGGAGACAAAGCACATAGAAAATGGTATGCTTGTAAATGAGACCCCCAGAAAACCAGTAAAGAGGTATGCTCGCTTTACGGTGTCTTTAGGGCCTTTTCCAGTTGTGCGGCTGTTGACTTTGAGGGACAGCACCCCATTTGTTTTTGATTACGAAACCCCAGCGCCAAACACTCAGGAACGGCTTGGTTCGGGTGCTTGGACAGGGCAGCCAGGGCCAAAGGGGGGTGCAGGCCACACACCTGACGACACTTCCTGAGCAGTCCCCTCCTTGCTAAGAGTGGCACCCTGAAGGGCTTCGCAGAAACGAAACGTCTGCCCCCACTCGCAGTGGGGCATCCTGTGCCAAGGCAGGGCCACTTTCCGGCTTGGGATCTCTTGGCTTTTCCTCAGGAGGCATTTAGCAAGTGCTGGACATGGCCTGCTGACAGCTTATTCCGGGAATCGGGTTGCCAGAGGTCCATTCCCCGAAGAAGACACGGGCAGGTTGTGTTTGGAGAACCACCTGTAGTTCCTGGTCGCATCCTGCGAAGGAGGGGCAGGGTCCTTGTGACCTTGGCTGATTTGGGGTGGTCTTGGCTTTTTAGCGTGGAGAAGAGGGTGAGGAGGAGGGCAGAAATGACGCAGCCTCTGTGCCCGGGGTGAGGAAAGTGGACAGGCAGCTGAGCTTTGCTGGAATTTTGCTAGAACCCAGGGAGGTCCTCTGGAGGAGCAGCGGCTGCTGGGGAGTCGCGACCGAGCGCTGTGCAGGCTTAAGCGGGGGCCACAAGTGACCGCCAACATGGATGGCTTTGAACGAGGATTGGAGGAATCAGTGGAGTGGGAGAAGGGTATCTGTGGCTGTATGCCACCTCCAGCATCCGAGGCGGGGGGCTCTGTCGGGGGTACCCCCCCATTTCTGCCCCCCTGTTGGGCACGCAGCTTCTGGCCTGCCACCCCCCTGGGCAACCGTGGGAGGGAAGATGAAGACGGGGCAGCCCTCGGGTCTGCGAACGAAGGCAGGCGGCCGGCCCGGATGTTGAAGCAGTGGCGTGTCTCGTAACAGGCAGCTCAGCAACTCATCCACCTACAGCGGCGAAATGGGGAAGTCCACGCAGCAGAGCGGCACGGCTGAGCCCCCCAAGGCCCCCGCAGAGAAGAGCAGCTGGAAGTTAACCGAAGCCGACACGGCCAAGACAGGGAAGGTGAGGGCTGAGGCGCTTCTTTTCCTGGACAGGGTGAAAATCTTCTGGTTTTTGCAAGTGCAGGAAGCTAGTGCCAAGTGAGCTGAGCCGTTGCCTCCATTTTTTCTTCATTGATGCCCCGACTTTCCAAGAGGAAAACAGTCCTCAGGGCAACTGACAGTCATACATCCAGGCTTAAAACAATTGTGAAAGTGACTGGATTGAAAGCAGCACGATAAAAGAAAGAAAAACATTACCCAAATTGGCGGAATACACTTTGGCAACAGACCAGACTCTGCGCCAAAGGAATGTGCTCAGAACCTAGCTTTGAACTGCTGACCCAGCTTTTTAAGACGCCTGTATTGAGAATTAGTTCACCGGATGGAGGGCTGCCTGATTGATCAGGGGCACTCTCTGCGCTGAGCACTTTAAGCGGGCGGCTCCATCCGCTGCATGGATTGCCAGGCCGCCCCCACGGCGAGAGCAGCCGCTCGGAAGCCGTTACGAGGCCGCCCAGCTGTGCAAACATTCGCTGCCCGGGCCGCCTTGAACGACGCTGCCACTTCCAGCCTTAGCTCCGGAGCCTCGGAGCGCAGGGTCGGCAGCTGGCCCCAGGCCAAGCTTCCGCCACCAAGCGCGGGGCCTGCCTTCCTCCCGGGCCGAGGGCACGCCTGTGTTTGTCTTTCCCTGGTGGGAGATCTGCAAGCCGGGCTGCCTCCGGAGGAGGCTCCTGCCGGGCCACGAGGGCTTCGGCTTGGGGCGGCCGTACCGGCCCCCAGCGCAGCTCCGCCTCGGTCCTGCCTCCGCCCCAGCACCCTGCAGGATGCTGTGCGCCTGTGCCCCGGGGGCAGCGAGTGTTCCCCTGCTGAAACACCGCCCGCTTGTGCAGCCCCAGCCCAGCATACAGGCTGAGCACAGGCTGTCCTTGCCGTGTGGACTGTCGAATCGTGGGTTAGCGCTACTGTGGCCCCAGCTCCGTGGTTTAAGCGTGTGTTCCTAATCAGAAACAGGTGGGCACGTGAGAGCCGGGATGGGGACAGGAAGGCAGAAGAAATGGGGCAAAGGGAGCGTCAAAGAACAGGAGTCCCGAGCAGAAAATGTGTACAAGTCTTGGCGTGTCGTCTCAGAGGCCTGGGGCACGGCGGCCAGAAGGGGGGTTCAGGGAGTGGGGGGAGCCGGGTGGGTGCTGGCCGCATCAGACATGCCTCTGGGGCCGAGGAAGGGGAGGGGCCGTGCGGAGGCTCTGGGACTCGAGGGCCACATGAGATGCTTGCACTGTGCAGGTCTGAGGGGGGCGTGGCAAGGCGAGGTGTGTGGGGTGTGGACGGGGTGGACTTGCCCCAGTGGCGGTCCCACACGTGTGTCCCCCCCCCCAGGTGAAGGCGAGCGTCTACCTGGAGTACATCAGGGCCATCGGGCTCGGCATCACCTTCCTGAGCGTCTTCCTCTTCATTTGCAACCACCTGGCCTCCCTCTGCTCCAACTACTGGCTCAGCCTGTGGACCGACGACCCCGTCGTCAACGGGACGCAGCAGCACACGGACCTCCGGCTGGGCGTGTACGGGGCGCTGGGGATATTCCAAGGTGGGCGGGCACCTTCTCCTCCGCGGCACTCGCCTGGCCCCGCTTCCCGGCTCCCCCAGTGCAGGCTTCCTCGGGTCCCCCCTGCTGGCTGGAAGCTGCAGCAACGTTTCGGCCACATGGAGGTCGCTCCCGGCACGGCTGCTGCAGGTCTCTTCGTGGGGAGGGGGGAAGCTGGCGTCCCACCTCTGCCGTGCTTCCCCTGCCGGAAAAGCCGCCCGCATCGAGGCTGCTGGGACACGTGCCAGCAAGACATGGGCCTCGGGGCAGGATCAGGCGGCACCCCACACAGGGCAGGCCTGGCTTGCTGGGGCCTCTGGGCACCGCGGGCAGGATGGGAGATCGCGTGCCCGGGCGGAGCGAGGGAGGGCCTGGCTGAGGGGGCGCCGGCGAGGGGGGCGTGGACGATGCCACGTTCGCTCGGCTCCGGGGCCACCGCCGAGCTGAGTGTCCCGTGGGGCTGTGTCCGTCCCTCGCAGGCGTCGCGGTGTTCGGTTACTCGATGGCGGTCTCCGTCGGAGGGATATATGCCTCCCGCCGCCTCCACCTGGACTTGCTCTACAACGTCCTCCGCTGCCCGATCAGCTTCTTCGAGCGAACGCCCAGCGGCAACCTGGTGAACCGGTTCTCCAAGGAAATGGACACCATCGACAGCGTCCTGCCGCAGATCATCAAGATGTTCATGGGCTCGGCCTTCAACGTGCTCGGCGCCTGCGCCGTCATCCTGGTGGCCACACCGGCCTTCGCCGTGGTTGTACCCCCACTGGGGCTCGTCTACTTCTTCGTGCAGGTGAGGGCCCGCCACCCCCACCCACCTCACGGAGGCCGCGCCGCCACCCTGGAGCCCTCGCTCGTTCTCCCTGCGCCTCCGTGCAGTCCACGTTCCGTGGTGACCCCTCTCGTTCGCTCCTGCCCCACGTCGGCAGCCCGTGTCTGTTCGCCGCTGCAGCCAAGGAAGTGAGCGCCTTGCCTGGCCTCGCCACCCGCTTTCAGGGAGCCCGCCAAGCAGCCAGAGCCTCCTAGGCCGCCAGCCGCTTTCGCGGTGCCAGTGGGAGTGTCCTCGGTAGGGCGCTTGACGCTGCCGGGGCTCCCGCACCTCTGTGCTCCTTGCCCGGCCGTCTGCTGGCTCAGCTGCCGCTTCCAGAAAGCGCGGAAGAGCAGCGGTCACCTTCTTCCGCACGGAGCGCCACTTCTGGCTCCAGAGCGGAGGGTGCGGTTGAAGGCCCTTTTGGACAGAAAGCATCCTTGGCGTGTGGTTTGAACACCCAGGAAGACGGGCCGGCCGTGCTGCCGTTTCCTCGCAAGAGAAGCGGCTCGGCCACTGCGCAGCTGGCAGTGCAGGACAGACACGCGCCCTGCCGGAAGCGGTGTGGGGGGACCGAGGGTCGCTTGAGGCTTGATGGTGGTCACTGCCGTTTTTCAACCTGCGCTGCACCACCTCACGGGTTAGGAGCTTAGTGTCGAAGGGAACGGGGGAAGGAAGAAGCCGGTCCCCAGGCGGCCGCAGGACCCCGGGCGATTCAGAGCAGATGCCCTTGACCCCGGTCTCCCCGTGCTCTTGCTGCCGCATGCGCCCCTGACCCTGGGCCCCTGACCTTCGCAGAGGTTCTACGTGGCCACGTCCCGCCAGCTGAAGCGCCTGGAGTCGGTCACCCGCTCTCCAGTCTACTCGCACTTCAACGAGACGCTTCTGGGCGTCAGTGTCATCCGAGCCTTCCAGGAGCAGAAGCGCTTCATACGGCAGAGCGACCTGAAGGTGGATGAGAACCAGAAGGCCTATTTTCCGAGCATCGTTGCAAACAGGTGGGTGGACGAGTCGAGGCTCCTTCGTGATCTCCGCCCTCCCACGCAGGAGGGACTGGGCAGATCTGCCGAGTCCGTTTGCCCAGAACGGGAAGTGCGTGGGGCAGGCCCACCCGGGGGGAGAGGGTCTTTCCGCGCAGGAGCGGGTGAACCGATGAGCTGCGGCACGATCCGCACGGCCCCCTCCTGGGCGTGGGAAGACCGGGCAGCTTCGGGAAGGGGGGAAGCGGCCCCTCGGATTCTGCGGTCCCGAGCTGCAGGGCACCACCAGCCAGCAGCAACGCCTTCGGCGCTGCCAGGGCCTGTCGTCCTGCCCCAGCCCCGCATGTGGCAGCCATTCACGCTCGCTCTGCAGGTGGCTCGCCGTTCGCCTGGAGTACGTGGGGAATTGCATCGTCCTCTTCGCCGCGCTCTTCGCCGTGATCGCTCGCCACAGCCTCAGCCCGGGCCTGGTGGGGCTCTCCGTCTCCTACGCGCTGCAGGTAGCGAACAGGGAGCCCCCCACCTTGCAGGCCCCATCCCCCGAGGCAGGAGGGGTGGCCGTGGGGACCCCCAGACATTTCTGTGCACTTTCAAATCACGAGAAGTAGCAGTTCCTCTGTGCTCCTCGCTAGTCAGACCTCACCTGGAATACCATGTCCAGGTCTGGGCACCAAGATTTAAGATGCAGGTAAATTAGAAGGGGTCCAGCGGAGGGCAACAGAAATGATCCGAGATTGGCAACTGCCCTGTGATGAGAGACTGAAGAACTGGGTGTGTTCAGCCTTAGGAAGAGAAGACTGAGGGGGGACATGGTATCCCTCTATAAGGACCTCCAAGGCTGCCATAAAGAGGAAGGTCAAGACCTCTTCTTGCTAATGCCAGAGGGTAGGACATGGAGTAATCCTGCTAGATACCAGGAAAAGTTTGCTCACTGAGAGACCAGTACAGCCGTGGAACCAGCTGCCCGGAGAGGTGCTGGGCTCTCCCACACTGGAGGCATTCAGGGTGAAACTGGGCAGCCCTCTGAGTGGGATGGTGTGACGTCATGTCCTGCAACAGCAAGGGTTGGACTTGATGGCCTTCACGGCCCCTTCCAACTCTACCATTCTATGATTCAATGAGTGATTCTCCAAGGAGTTGCATTTGTGGTGGGCACTCAGAGAAAATGCATTGGGAAGAAAAACCGACTGGGAAGGTGGAGATCCAGCTCTTCAGTGTTGACGTCACGCAGTCCCAGAGCAAGGAGAACGGCTGCATATTCCAGGGAGCTGGGAATCGGCGTTTGAACAGGGCTCCCGCCCCCTCACGCTCCGGGACGTTGCGGTGTGGGGCCGCTCCAGCTCCCTCGTCCGCACCTCCTGGGGTAGATGAGCTCTTCCTCGCCAGTTTGTCCGAGACAGCCCACGGGCAGAGGCAGCCAAGGGCTTACACAAGGCTCTGGCTGCGCATTCTTGCCCGGCACGGAGGAAACATTCGGGAAAAGTGTCCGAATCACAGCCCCGTTCCACACCCGCACGCTGCAGGCGGGAAATGGCTGATGGGGCGGCTGGACACAGCGCAGTGACGGCTGGGTGACTTCCGTGTCTCCCTTCGGCAGATCACCACGTACCTAAACTGGCTGGTGCGCATGTCCTCCGAGATGGAAACAAACATCGTAGCTGTGGAAAGAGTCAAAGAGTACTCCGAAAAGGAGAAAGAGGTGAGCACGGGAGGTCTCCCGGGGCTGGGATGGGGGGCCTGTTTTGCGCCCCTTTGCTCTCCTCTGAGAACAGCAGCGTGCGTGGCGGGGTGGCTGTCAGAGCAGGCCAGGGTGGAACGGGGTGCTCCTTTCCAAGCCGCTGCAGTTGCTCGGCCTGGAAAAGCCGCCTGGCGGACTGCAGGAAGACCCTGGCACGCCGCCTTCAGGCAGCCGGGTGGCCCTCCGGCAGCCCTGCACCAAGGCTGGCCGGGGGATGCTGGGCATCGTGGGGGCGCTGCTAGGGAAGGCCGCTCGCTCGGTGGCACCTCTGTGCTCACTGGCGAAGGCCGCGAGTGCCCTCCAGTGGCCGGCAGGGTTGCCGCAGGCCCGCACTGGATTTGTGTGTCTGTGTGCACCTGCCCACCAATCACCGGCACAGGATCCCCGCGGAGGGCCGTTCGAGTTTCCGCTTTAATACGCGGGGGCCCCGGTCCAGTCCACGGCTTCCCCAGTTCAGAGGCAAGGGAGCAGGTGGCAGAGAAGGCCTCCTCTGCCTTGGACCAGAGGGGCACGCTGGAGCACACGGGGCCAGCTGGAGTCATGGGAAGCCACCTCCCGGCCCGGCCCCTCCGCAAGCCCTCGCTGCCCACGGCTGGGGGTACTCGCGGGCTGCTGGGCACGACGGGGGCGTGTGCCCATCCGCGCAGCACCCTCACGGCTTCTCGCCCAGCTTGCCTGCCCATTCTCCTCCAGGCGGAGTGGACCATCAAGGCGATGGCACCACCCAGCAGCTGGCCGCACAAGGGCCAGGTGGAGTTTCGAGACTACGGCCTGCGCTACCGGGACGACATGGACCTGGTCCTGCGGAACATCAGCATCAGCATCGACGGCGGGGAGAAGGTGAGCCCAGCTTCAGCGGCACCCGGCCTTCTGTGGTCCGAGGGCCACCCGCCATTCGCAGAGCCCCATTCCCGCGGCGGACAGGGCCAAGGCGAGAGGGCATGAGCCGAAGTGGCACACGAGGCTCTCCTGGCCAGTCCTCGGCCTCAGGAGAGTCTTCACCGCCTCTGGGAATAGGCAACCTGCCAAGGAGGGTGGCTGGTGGCTGGGCACAGCCCTCTGGGCAGTGGTGGGGGCTGGCCGGAGGGCGACCCGAAGCAGACGCCCTTCCAAGCCCTCACTGTGCCTGTGAATTCCACGCTGCACGGAGAACCCCTTCCTCTGACCAGCCTGCCCCTCAGCTTCACAGGATGTGACCCTACCGGGTGCTGGTGTTACGAGGGAAGGCGAATCAACGCCTCACAGAACAGTAATAGAATTGGAAAGATCTCCCCTTTCCTTTCCAGTCTCTCAACACCATGCATAATTCCGCACGCCTTTATCGCGTGACTCCTTAGCGGCCCTTTTGCTCAGCTGAGCCAGGGAAGGCCCCGTGTGCCGGGCCCCTTCAGACAAGCCCCCACCCAAGGAGGCAGCGTGTCTCCTAGCCCACTTCGGAATATCCCCCTGCTCAAGGGCAAAGCCCGCCATGCAGAGCTGCCACCCACCTTTGGTTTGGTGGCTTCGATCTTCGGAGGAGCGGCTGGGACCCAGCCCGCATCTTCTCCACCCTTGCCCGCAGCTCCAGGGCGGAAGCTTCCTTTCTGGAACTGAGCCTGCTGCAGGTGCTTGCCTGTCCTCCTCCACAGGTGGGCATTGTTGGAAGAACCGGAGCGGGGAAGTCATCCCTCACCCTCGGCCTGTTCCGGATCAATGAGGCGGCCGAAGGGGAGATCCTCATTGATGGGATTAATATTGCTAAAATCGGGCTGCACGACCTGCGCTTCAAGGTCACAATCATTCCACAGGTAAGCGAGAAGCCCCCGTGATGCTAAGAAGTGAGCCCCGACTTGTGGGGGCCGCGTGTCCTGCCGATGCCGCCTCTGTAGAGACTTTACCGCCTGGTGTCCTGCCGTCTGTTTGATCGCACCTTGTTGTCTAACCAGGACCCCATCTTGTTTTCTGGCTCCCTGCGAATGAATCTGGACCCTTTCGACCAATACTCGGATGAAGAGGTCTGGAGGTCGCTGGAGCTTTCTCACCTGAAAAGCTTTGTGACCACTCTCCCCAACAAGCTCAACCACGAGTGCGCGGAAGGAGGAGAGAACCTCAGGTAGCGCGGCGTTCCGGTCCCCTCGCCTCCTTCCTTTCAATGCTCTTCAGACAGCTTCTGCCCGAGCATTCCGTATCAGCGCCCCCAAGTCTGGGGTGGGGGGCTGCACTCCAAGCGGCCGCCTCCCGTTCTCATTTCGGCTGCCTCTTCTGGCCTCCAGCGTGGGGCAGAGGCAGCTGGTGTGCCTTGCCCGGGCCTTGCTCCGGAAGTCAAAGATCCTGGTTCTCGATGAAGCCACGGCGGCGGTCGACCTGGAGACGGACAACCTCATCCAGTCCACCATCCGGACGCAGTTCGAGGGATGCACCGTCCTGACCATTGCACACCGGCTGAACACAGTTATGGACTATGCACGGTAATGCCAGCGGCCGGCGAGCCCCGTGGCTCCAGGCCTTGCCGACGGGTGGAGGGGATGGTGCATGCAGGCGGCCTGGGAAATGCCCGGAGCAGCCTGCTCTCCAGAGGGCTTGGATGCAGCAAAGCCAGTGGCGGGGGATGATGAGAATTGTAGTCGAATAACTGGAGGGCGGCAGGTTTCCTGCTGCAGGTCGAGACAAGGCCAAACCAGGTGGACCTTCGACCTGCTTCCATACGGAGCAGCCTTCCTCGTTAGCCTTCGGGGTGGGGAGAAAGGGCGACTGTCCTGCCCCTGCCTCGTGTCCACGAACCAGCAGCCCTGCGGGAGCACCAGGGGCGCTTGAGCCTTGGGGACCGGGCTGCGGGACACCCTCCTGGGGGAGCCAAGGGCCGGTCAGGATCCACTGGCCAGTCTCCTGGTGATTCACCGGGGGGGGGGGCGCTCCCTTCCAGCACATGAAGTGGCCATGTGCAAAGGCTGCTGTGTGGTGCTTGGTTTGTGCCAGCGGCACTGTCCGCGGCGCTGGCATTTCCTGCTGATGAAATGGGCACATCCCTTGGCTCCGTGTTACCAGGCCTTTGAGCAGTGCCGGGGGCCGCTTCCAGGCTTCTGTGCGAGAATCCAATCCGCAGGAACTCGGCCTTGGGCTCTGCTCCATTGTGGTGGAGGGGAGCCACTGTGAGAGCCCCCTTTGCTCTTGGGGCTGCAGCGAAGAGCAGAGTGGTCCATGGACTGACGGCAGTGCTTTCCTCCCACTGCTTAGGGTGATCGTCCTCGATAGAGGTGGGATTGTGGAGTGCGGCTCTCCCGCCGCACTGATCCAGAAGAAAGGCATGTTCTACAGTATGGCCAAAGACGCAGGCCTGGTTTAGGGCTCAGGGCGCACCTCCACTTCCCTCAGGGCAAAGCGCAGGGTTGGCGGGCAGGTCGGCGGCGTCCGCACAAGCCCCTCGCTACAACACTCGACCCTCGAGCCACAAGAGGCCACTGAAGCTGAGTCTGAAATGTGACGGGGAACCGCAACGCACAACCTTCCTCCTGCTCCCAGGTTCTGGGGCTGTTCTGCAAACCTGGAGTCGTGTGCCTCAGCCCAGGTCCAGCCTTTAGATTTTATTTAGATCACCAAAGTCTCGCAAACAGTAGAACCAAACGATTTTGAGTCCTCTGGAGAAAGGCTCAACTTCTCACTTCTGTTTGAATCGTGCTGCTGTCTCGTGTTTGTGGGAAGAGTCTCCTGGAAATGCAGGTTAATTTCCTGATAAAGATCCAGAATTATAGCAGCCCGGCCCAGAGCTTCTGTGCAGCCGATCCGCTGCCATGTGCTGGAGCCGCAAGGGGGATTTTCCCGCATTTGGTCTTGCTTGTATTTCCTGGATATTAGCTTGCAAAAAGCTAATCCAGACCCCAAAGAATTCTGATGGTTTGTCGTGGAGATAGAGGGCAGGGGACGTGGATGGATAACCACAGGAAGGCTGCCTGTACTCTGGCATTTTTTGATTCTGCGGTTGGAAGCATCACCCCTCGAAGCTGCTCTCGGCTCTAACACTGGCCAGCAAAATTCGGTGGGGTCTTCCTGCTTGTTCACATCTCCTGCAGCCGCTTCTCAGCCTTTCTTGCCTGGGAATGAGCAGCAGCAGCAACAGTTTTGTGTTCTCTGTGGTCTCCTTTACTGGAGGAAAATTGAGTATCAGGGTTCTAAATGCTCTCCGAGAAGTTGGACCTGTGGATTTTGAATTACGTTGCTGACCTTTTTGTATATATAACCTAGACATGCATCTTTTCCTAGAATAAAGTTATTTATTTTATTTTATTGTAAATACTGTTATTTGGGGCCTAAATAGACTGATATTTACTTTGGTATTTTTGTAATGACTCATGGGGAAAGCTTTCAGTAAATTTTCTTTGTTTGGAGAATTGTCCTCGCTCCTTCTGTTGTTTGCAAACCCTCAGCAAGTACCGGAAGGCAGGCTGGATAGAGATCACATCGCAGAGGAAAACGCTTCGCTGGTGCTCGGCCACTCCTAACCCAGAGCCTCCGAGTGCTTTGGGCGACACGTACTTTAATGCCGCGGCACCACAGCAATGAGGAGAATGAGAGTTGTAGTCCAGAGTAGGGGGTCCCGCCAGGCCCGGCAAGCTGCGTTTGCTTAGCCACCGCCCAAGAACACGACCTGCACAGATGCTTGGGAAGCCCGTTCAGACGGAAGCCGGACTTGGCAGGGCTGCAGAGTCTGGCTAGCTGGTACACGGGCATCTTTACCGGTGGGGCAGAATGTGGAGTCTCAGCTGCTGAGGCCTCACCAAGCCTTGCCTTGCTCGCCTCCCACCGACCCTTCTCTGCCAAGCATTTGTCTTGCAACATGCGATTTTTTGGCCCAACGTGCGCCATTTTTTAAAGGTAACCGAAGCTCACGGGGTGGCCATCCTGTGCAGCCCCCAGCTGAGCGCCTGTCCACGCTCTTTGCAATGGCGGGGGTGTCTATTGCTAAAGGTCCAAAGCTGTTCAGAGCCATTTTTCCACTCTGTCCTGGGCAAATTAGTGGGCTGCAGCCCGAAGCGCTGAGCTTGCCTCGCGAGGAGCAGGCCCTGCTGGGAGCAAAGGCGGGAATTCCCCCGTCATTTGGAAGTGGCATTTTGGAAAGGCAGTCGGCCATGTGCCTCCACCCCGCTTCCTCCTCAGGCCACATGAACTAAGGCAAAGGCCGAGCTGCGCCAGAGGCATGGGCTTGCCACGCACGAAGAGCATGGCGTGACGCAGCTGCTGTGTTCGGCCGGGTGAGGGAGACTCCCGGGCGCAGCCCTCCTCTGCTGCCTGCTCCCCCAGGGCATGCGCAGCCATCCAGCTTGGGCCCTGACACTGTTGGTGGAGCCCTGCTCGGCGTGGCAAAGGTCGCGGCCCGGTCCCCAGCAGCATCCCCAGGGAGTGCTGGACGCCCCGGCTGCCGGTCAGTGTGGACACTCTGCAGCCAGAGGGACCCTTGGCCCAATTCCATTCCCGAAGTTTCCGAGTCATCTCGGCCTAAAGATGAACCGCGGCTGGAAATGTGGTGGCCAAGCCTGGCTGAATTCAGAACTGCCCCCTCCAATTTCAGGCACCGACGGGAACCGGAGACTCGCTCGACCCAGCGAGAAAGCCCAAGCGAGCCGTGAGGGGCACAGCCTGCCCTCCTCGTTGCTCCTCCTCAGCAGCTTTCTTCCTCCGTGCATTTCTCAACTTTCCCTTGAGCCCAGCTGAGGTTGCTCCTGCTGGCAGAGTCCATCAGCCACGTCCGGGGAGAAGGGGCTTGTGCCACTAAACGCTGTGGCAAGCGCACTGGGCTCCTCCAGCCGGTCTTCTGCGGCCGCCCCTCTCCGCTTCCGGCCATCTCAGCTTCCCAATGCAGTCGGGGCGAGTGGTGGACGAAGCGATGCAGATGGACCCCGCTCACCTCTGCTGCCGCTTTGGCGCCTTTTGCATCCTGAAGTGCTGCCGCCAGAAGCAAGACGAGGCCCGGACCACTCGCAGCCTCCCACTGCTCTGGCTCGGAGGGGAGGGCGGCTGGAGCCGCGTGCCAGGGAGAAAGCAGCAGGCACTCGGCCACCCTGTGGAACCGGCGGTGCCAGGCCGCTGCTGACCGCACCAAGGTTGCTCCCAGCTCACTTCCCGGTCCTGAAGTCTGGAGTTACTCCAGCATTCAGGGCTTGCTCGAGGCTGTCCAAGTCTTACTCCCAGGTGAGCAGAAAGAGACGCAGCAACACCCCGAAGGACTCCAAGCAAACTTCTTACTAAGTGGGGATGGTGGAACCTCCTGCAGATCAGAAACCACTCTGCACACCCACCTTAGAAACTGAAAATGAGCACCGCCCGCTGGGGGTGTTTTCACAAGATAATTTTATTTACAAGATTGGATGAAAGACTTGTGAGAGAAGCTGCAGAGCAAAGCGACCTTGGCTCGCCTCCTCCACCTCTTCAGGAGGCTCCCGTGCGCAGGCCTGCAGTCAGGCCAACCCGGTGGTTCAAAGCACTCGCACAGACGCCGCGCAGACGGCATGCGCACACACAAGCCGCTCCAGCCCTCCTGGGCAGAGAGATGCGAAGGCTCGGGGGGAAACCTCCTCTTCTGGGGGTCCCAGGTTGCTCCCAGGATGCAAGAACCAAACAATTCTGTTTGATCAAATGCTTTAAGCATGAGAAATACCGTGCTCAAGGCAAGGAGTTCCCAGACTGAAACCAGACTTTATGCCCCCAAATTAGGAAGACCTTTAAGGCAAGGCAAGGCTAGAGACAATTCCTGGGCATTTTGAAGGGAGGAATGTTAGTCCTTAATCCTCCACACAAGGGCTGCAGCACGAAGGTCGATGGAGCATCCCTGGATGTCCAGTTCCCCAACAGGCGACGGCGGTCACCACAATTCACGTGTCTCGGGCTGCCAGCTCATGTCTCCAAAATGCATGAGGTATGGCTCGGCTGGCTCACAAAATTGTCACTTCAGGATATATAAAATTGAAACTGTACTTGGCCCAGGGAGTGATCACAAATTTGCTCCCTGGATTCGCTTTTCAGTGTTTTTTATACTTACTTTTTAATTTTTTTTTCCAGAAATAAGAAAAAAGAAAAATAGAATGAAGAAAATGTAGCAAAAAACAAAACTTAACCATCAAGGAATCTCAAACAGATAGTACATAGAACATCATGTACAAGAAATAAAATTTCACTGTGAGTCAGGAATCATCCTCTCCACGCAATCATATTTTTAAGAGCTTAGTTAAAATTTATGGAGATTTCTACCGAACTGCAGTTCTTCAGTAATACAAACAATAGTCTCCAAATCCTTCCCAAATTCCTTTCCCTTTAAGCTTATTACTTGGCTGGTTATCTAGTTTTCATTTGTTTGTTTAGCACATTTGTGTGCTGCCCCATAGCCAGAATTTTACATCATCTTGCCATGACTATGGATTCACCAACTTATTTTTCTAATCTCCCATGACTGACTTGCCTTACTTGCCATTTAAAGGTCATTTCTAACTTTAGCCAAAATTCTCATGTGCTTAAAATAACTCAACTGAACTTCCTATAACTGCAAAGTGTCAGTACACCTTAATCTCCAACAGTACTTTCAAAAACTTTATTCCATTTATGCAACTTTCCTAATAGTTTTTATTTATAATGATAATTTTATGAGCAAACCACATTATACGCAATGCATTTTGTGTCCCTGAAATCACAGTGACTTTATACCCGAAAGGTGGAATGAAAAGAAATACGACGTTTCTCCCAAGGTTGGCTTCCCAGCACCCCAGAAAAAAAACGGGAGCAGGAATATTTTTCTTCTCAGGGTGCTGGGATTCCCAGCAGTTTTCGATCCGCCCGGAGGCAGCCTCCACAATTCAGGGCCAAGTGTGCACACCAACAGCGAAAAGGCACTCTCCTAGTGGTGTGTGGGTCCCGCTGCAGCAGAGCAGGGGCCCTGCGGGAGCCCCACGGGTGCCAGCCGGGACTGAAGAGGCAGCGCCTCGCGCGCACCCGAAGACGGCGAGCCTCTCGGCCACCCCACAGAATCCGGGGCCCAGGCTCCATGGGTGCAGGTGAGGCCGCTCCGCCCGCCCGGCGGTGGCAAAGCGCACCAAAGCCCCGCTCCTCCCAGCCCACTCGGGAGGCGTGCGCCCTGCACAACAAGGCAGCGGCGTGGAGCCCGCCCTCCCTGGTGGCCTTCGCCCCAAGGCGGAGCAGAGATCCCGGGCCAGAACTCCGCCACCATCGCTTCGTCCTTTCCGTGCTGCGCTCGCCTCCGTGCAAGAGCCGCGTGTGCCTGTGTGTGAGTTTCAAGCAATTCCAGCTCCAGTTTAGGACAACGGTTAAGGAAGGCACCAAAAGCCTCCCCTGGCCACAATCCGGGCAGGGGCGCCGTGGAAGTAGCCTGGAAAGGGGGTGGCGACAAGCGCGTCGTTGAGGCTCCAAGAAAGGGCCGAGAGCGAGGGTGCGGAGTGCAGCCCGCGGGCCGTGGTGCAAAGGGCCCCCGAAGCGGCCCAGGCCCCCCCCCCCCGGCAATGACTTCTACCAGTGCAAAGGCAGGGGGCCTGGCCAGCGCCCAGAGCAGCGGCAAAGTCAGAATCGACTCCGCTTCCTCCAGACGAGGCACCCTGCACGGACTCTCACCTGATGATTCCCTGCAGGACAGAAGAGGTACACACGGGAAGAGAGATGCTGAGAAAGGCTATTTGTTTCCCCCCAATCTAGTCATCCTGAAGGCCCCTTCAAAAGGCACGCTGCGAAGGGGGGCCGCAAGGGCCCCCGCGGGCTCCCTGCCATGGTCGGCCGGCCCCTCCCGCGCCACGCACCCTCAGAGCCGCCGGTAGGTGCCGAGGAGAGCGCGGCAGTTGGGGCAGTGGTGGTCCACGTCCTGCAGCGCATCGATGCAGAAGGGGATGAAGCAGCAGCCGATCCAGCACCTGCGAGGGAGAGACAAGACGCTCCCGTGAGGAGCAGGCTTGGAGGCCACTGGGCCGCAGCCCTCAGAAGGGAAGGTCCCGCCGAGGGCTCGTGGCACCGGAGGCTGAGAAGTGGCCTTCTTCCAAGCAGCCATGCAGTCCCGCCCTTCCCCACCAGCCCCCGCTCGCCTGCACAGAAGCCCTGGTCGCCCAAGGTGAGCGAGCGAGCGAGCGCTGAGCTCCTGTGACCCCGTTCTGTGCCAGGCAGAGGCCAGCTGCATCTTCCCCAGCCCCACGGTGTGAAAACGAAGGACATGCAGCAGCCGGGGAGGGGGGGCTGTTGAGCAGCTGAATCGGCTTCGGTCCTCCCCCACTCCCCTCCCTTCGCCTGCCTCCGCCACGCAGTGGCTCATGCCCACAAAACCAGCATGCTGCAGGATGGGCCGCTTGGCCACAGGGGACCCGCCAGACTGCCCGGGGCCAGGGGGCTCCTGGGCCCGGCCACGGGGCTGCCAGGGGCCGGGGAGGGGGCACTCACCCCAGCAGGCAGAGGCCCCCGCAGGAGAGCCAGGTCAGGGCGCCCGCGTGGTGCACGAGCTGCGTCACGACCATCTGGTTGCACGACGGGCAGCACATCTGCACGGGGCGGTCGTGGAAGACCAGCGGGTAGACTGTGGGGAGGCGGAGAGGGCAGGTGAGGGGGGGAGGGGAGGGGAGAGGAGCTCAAAATCGCCTCATCCGGCCTTCCCCGGCCTGGCGCCTGTGTCAGGCCACGACTCCCATCATCCCCAGCTGCCCTGCCTATGGAGGAACAGCAGTGCCAAGAGCACGCTGCAGGGGTGTCCTGGAGGCAGCTGGTGCTGCGGGGGCTCCAGGGCCCCCCACAAAGCCCGGCTCCGCGAAGGGCCCCTCAGAGCCAGAGCCGGGTGCTTGGCCGGCCCTCCCGCCCCCCCTTCCCCACCCGGCCCCCCTTGCCCCACCCAGCCAGCCACGAGCCGCGAACCCTCTCGGGACCGACCTGTGTTCACCGCTGCCGCCGGGCCCGGAAGCACCGTGTAGGGCTGCGCAGGGTATGGTGGAGCATATCCACCTTTCGAGGCCGCCCCGGCCTCTCCAGGGGTGGCGTACGGGTACGGCGCAGAGTTGTTGATCCCCGTGGTCTCCTCGTACGAAGGTGGCGGGACGTTTGGAGCAGAGGGAACGGCTGCCATGGCTCTGGAGAGAGAGGGAGAAACCAGGCGGGCGGCGGGTCACTCGAGGAGGCGGCCCCCCCACCACGCGGCATGGGGCCTGGGGAGGCTCTGCCCCAGCACGCAGGCAAGGGAAACTGCCCGGCCCGCGGGGGCCAGGGGGTCCGCCAGCCGGCCTGTGCCACTCCCACCGGTGCTGCGATCCCAGCAGCCCCCTGGTGCGAAGTCGCCCTGCTCTGAGCACACCTGCGGCCCAAGGCCCCCCCTCCTGTCCCCGCAGCCGGGGGGGGGTCGGCACGAGGCTGTCGGAAGCCCCACCACACCGCAAGCGAGCAGGGCACGCTGGGCCCCGGCCGTCCCTGCAGCTTCTCATGCCTGCTTCACTTCCTCCTGCCCCACTGGGGGCCCGGCAGAGGCTGCCCCACAGAGACCCTAAGCCCCCGCCCCATCGCTTCTCCACGGAGCCCCCCCAGCCTGCTCCTTTCCCCGAGCCTGGCACCACGTCATACTTATGGCCCACGACACGTGGCTCCCATGAACACTTCTATCTCTAAGCACAGCACTGCTGGGTGTGCAGGGATCCGCGCGGGGCCCGCTCGCCGCCTTCTCCCACAGCCTCCAGCTGCCCCACACTCCGGCTCCGGCCAGGCGCAAATGGTGGGAAATGGAGCAAAGCGCCTGCTCGGGCCACGGAAACAGCCGGGCCTCCTGGCTCCACGCGCCACACAGCAGGCAGCCACGAGTGTCTCTCTGAGACCACGACATTCCATCCTGACATCCATATGAGGACTGGCTACAGACGACTTTTCCTCTTCCCTCCCCACCTGTCTTTCCTCATGTGTTGTCTGAGCTTGCGAAAGCCCGTGGAGCAGGGGCTGCCTTAGTCTGCCGATTGCGAGACAGCCGCGGAAGCCCTTGTGGCTGAGCAGCAGGGTGAAAACACTTTCCCCCACTTTGTTAAAAGCAGCCAATTACCATCCATACGGTAAGGACAATGCCTGGGAGACACAATTAGCCCAACACCAGCTATGAGTTTAGCCTGCCTTTATTCAGCTCGTGGTAATCGGAAACCACCCATGGCGACCAGGCCACCCTCGGCCGTCTCAGTCTCAGCCTCGCGCTCTTGCAAAACAAAACAAAAATGCAAGACGCGCTCTTGCAAAACTTTCCCACTAATTAACACAACACATGACGAGCATTCCAGGAAGTTGCAGCGCTCGGTTTTCCCCAGCATGCAAACGATCACATGCTCACATGCAAGTTGCCGTCCCAGACACTTGACCGCCAGGCTACAACTACAACACCCCCGTGCGTTTGGGCTCTGCATCTGCAAACACGGCCACCCCCTCCCAGCCTCACAGGCGGAGCAGGAAATCCTGCGAGTGCCCCAAGCTGGAGATGGGGGGGGGGCACAACACCAATCCGGAGGTACGGCGTAAGAATGGGGATTCTCCAGCCCCCCCCCCACTCCCTGCCACGCACGGCTCTCTCCTCCGCAAGAAGCCAGCCCCTTCGTGCCGCTCGCACTCAACAGAGACCGGATCGCGCAGCCCGGACAGCAGGGGACAAAATCAGTGAGACGGGCCGGGCTGGGGGGGAGGCAGGAAATCACCGTGAAACAGAGGCAGATCCCGAACACAGGCACCTTCCACTCCTGGCTGCCCTCACTTAGGCGAAGAGGCGTCCCTCCCGCCCTGCTCCTCCCGCCCCCGTGCAGCTAGCAGGACCGGAAGGGGGCAATCGCTGCTCGGTCGGGGCAGGATCTCCAAGTGCCCGCCTGGGACGAAGGCAAGGACGATCATGCTGAGCAAGCCCTCAGCTGGGAAAGGGCGAGCCGGCCACGGCACTGCTGTGGACACGGAATCCACCTGCCCGGCTTTTGGTAAGTAAATAAAAGGGGGGGAGGACAGGAGGGTGTCCTCACCTCCCATCCCAACAAAACTTACCTCTCTGGACCCCTGGACCTGCACGGCACTCGACTCTTCCACAGACGCCTCCCCTGAAGTGTGGTGCTTCTGAGCTTCCTCCGGTTACGGGGCGTGAGAGCGGCCCCTCCCAGGACGCGTCTGCAAGAGAGGCGGACGAGACTTTGCCCAGACTTCCCGAGCGGCTTCGCCCCGCGCAGCCGGGGCTGCCTGGCGAGTGGCCGGGATTGCACCCTCCCCGCGGGAGCAGGGGGGCAGAAACGGGAAATCGCAAGGGAGGTCCAGGCCACGGCTGCCGAGGCAAGCGGGCCAGGAAAGCAGGCTGCGTGGGAGAGTCTCAGGAAGGGCGACGGAGCTGAATTCCTGGAACGCCGAGCTGAGTTTGCACAGGAAGCCACGCGAGTCCCTTCGAAAAGCCCCTCTGAAGAGCAGCCGGCTGCTTAAGATTTGTACTGCAGCCTTGAGCACAAGAAGCACTGCCAGGAAGCGGTGGGCCAGACTCCTCCAACCGGGAGCCCCCAGGGGAGGACACATCCCCCAGCATGACTGGGTGGCTGGCCTGCAGTCCAGAACCACGCCATCCCCAGCCACCCTGGGAGGAAGCCCCCCTCCGTGCAAACCGCAGCTGCCCGGGGCAGGAGTGGCCAGCACACACCTGAGCCACGGGCCCCGGCGGCCTGGGAGCTTTTAAGAGCTGGGGAGTCGAGGAGCCGGCGGCATCTTTGTGACATCGTGGCCCCTGCACCAATGCCGGCTCAGGGACACTCCCCGAGGCCCTTCCTTCAGGCAGGCCCCGGAGCTGCCAGGCAAAAGCCGTGGCCAAGCAAGGCCAAGCATCCCTCTCCTCCGAGAGAAACAGCCGTGCCAGCCGCGTCGCAAGGCCTCGTCTGGCCCGGACAGGTGACAGCGCCAGCAGGAGGCCAGGTCCCTTCCCTTGGGCTCCCGCTGTCTAAACGGAACTTCTTTACATAGTCGTTTGCGATTTCCTCCCGCGCAAGCCAAGGGAAGCTGCATTTCTGTGCTGCGCTGACACAGCCTGGACCTCGGAATGGCGGCGCACGTCCCTCCAGGGGCCGAAGACGACATGTCAAGCCAGTTCTGTCCTCCCCCGTTTCTACACTGGTCGTGCCTGGCGACCCCAGCTGCACCCTGAGCGTTCCTCTGCGGCCCTCCTGTTCACCGCGTCGGCTTTTTCCTGGTACGCCCCCAGGATGCGATTTCAGTCCCCACGCAGACCCCCATTTTACAGGCTGGGGAGAGAAAGGCCAGGGACCCGGCCCCTTTCCAAAGCCGGCCCCGGCAATGCCGAGGAAGCGCCATTTTGCCACGCGGCGCAAGCTGCCGGCACGGGGCTCAAAAGGCGCGTGGAGGCCCACGCCCCGAGGAGCCACGGTCTCCAGCGCCCGCCGGACGCTCTGCGCATCCACGCTCGCCCAGTGAACGCCCTTCTCCGGGCGCTTCTGAGGAAGCGCGCCTGCTTGGCAGTGGCGGGGCAGCTGGGGCGGGGAGGCGCTTCTCCTCTGCGCAGTTCGCTTTCCAGCCGCGGCAGGCACAGCAAACGCTTCCGGAAGGCCGAGCGGCGCCACACCTTCGCAAACACAGGCGCTGGACGTGGCACAGGCATGCCTCTCACATAACACTGGCCCCACCCAGGGCAGAGCTGGCCCGGCTGGCCTTTCGTCTGCCTTGCTGTTCTCATTCTGGCCACCTCCACCGCCCAGGTGCCAAGGAGCTCGGGGGGCGGGCCAGGTGAGACAGGTGAGGCCCACCTTGCTTTCCTGTTTGTCAGGCCAACCGTGCCTTCCCTCTAGCATAGCTCCTCCTTCCCGTCCCAAGGAAAGCTATGAGGCCATGGGGCACACACAGAGCGTCTTTTCAAGAGCACCCTCAGCCTGCCACCACGCATTCCCAAGAGGTTACCAGACCAGGATCCGTCCCGCCGGTCTCATTCCTGAGTGTTGCATTTTAAACATCTAAAGCGGCAGGAAAGGTGCGCCAGGCCCCCCCCCCCCACAAGGTTTCCACTGTTCTGATCGTCCTTCCATGCCAACTGTGAGGGAAGGTCTCCAAGAGGGCGCAGGCTGCCGGCACGCCTCATTTTAATGGCCAACTGGGGCTTTTTCATACAGCGCAGTTTTGCATGTAGGACGGGAAAATCAGGCGGAAGCACCTGAGCTAAAAAGCCGGGCTGTTTACTCACGCACAGACTCTGTCCAGTTAGCTGAAGCTGCGGCCAACCTGGACTACTTTTGGGACTGCCAAGCTGGGCCTCCCGGCCCCATATGCCACGAGCAACACACAGAAGCACAGCCGGAAAAGGCCACGCGGCACCCTCCCACCAAAGGATCCACATGTTGACCCATGCCACGAGATGTCCGGAAAGCCACCCACACGGTGTGCCCTGAGAGCCACCCACAGAGGGTCTATTATGGGGTGGCAAAACGACTCTCCATACTGAGCAGCACAAGATGGGCAGAAGTCCCCAAGACCAGAGCACAGACGCACTCTGTGGAGGCCCCCTTCCAGAGCGGCTGGGGCTCAGCTCGGCCAGGCAGGCAGCCCAGCGCCCCCCAGGTGTTTTGGACTACAGTGCCCATCCTCCACTGCCACTGGCCATGTAGGCAGCACCAAGCAAACCTGTGTCAGTGACCCGACTGGCTAGTTGATGGCCGCCAAGCACAGTTCTCAGGCCTGGAGGCTGCCTGCACCCACGGCCCTGCCTGGTGTATAGCGCAGGTACTTGCGCCTGGGGGTCCCGCGCGTGGCCGGCCACTGCCTCTCGGCCAGCCCACCTCGCAGGGTGGTTGTTGCGGGGATAAATGGGGCGGGGAGCACCCTCTTAGCTGCCTCCAGCTCCTTGCAGGTTGCAAATGCAGTGCAAGGACAGTAATGGTCGAGCCACGTTTTGCACTGGAAAGCCTCGGCCGGACTCCGGGTCCGCGTGGGGCGTCGACCGCTGCTCCACCGCGAGGCAGCTCACGGCTCCGCGCGTCAATTAAGAGCACGTGCGAAGGCGGCCCCCTTGAACGAGGAACGCGACAGACGCCGCCGCCGCCGCCATGAAACCCGCCGCGGCCGCTCGTCCCCGCGACGGGAGGCCCCGCCGGGCAGCCCGGCCGCGCTAGGACGGG